TACTGGGCCTGGCCTTCTGCCCCGCTCTCAAAGCCACCTGCCAGGCTCCCCTGGCCCGTCTGCTTGGATAAGAAAGGCAGCAGCTGTCATCCCGATGTGGGTGGAGTTGCTGTGGGCCTTTCCTGGTACAGCACAGACTTTTAGATCCTGTCTTTGGGCACCCCCCGCGGCCTCTCCCTCTTACTTGGGAGATACTCCACCTCACAGACCTCTTTTCCCCTCCTGCTTCTGCCCTCATGCTCCGTGGCTTCCCTGTCTAGGCACAGACTCCTCAGCAGTCCCCATGGACTGCTGGTTTTAGTCACGCTGGTCTCGCTTGGGGTGAGGAACAGACTTTCCCACCAGGACACCCGCTTGCTCACCACCTGCTTCTGTCTCTGGACCTGTTTGTACACAGTTTTACAAAACACCTGTGAGGCCCTCGCCTCAGCGTGAGGTGCCAGAGGCAGTGTACCAACGTAGGGAGCTCGCCCCACAGCCTTTCCTACTTCCCGGGGCCCCTTGGCAGCTGTGCTTCACCTGAGGACTGGCATCTCGGTGGCTTAGACGCAGCGCTCTTTCTCCCTGTGTAAAAAGGGGCACTTGGTCTGAGTATAAATATAATGTACAGGCACTTCTTAATGTTACTGTACATCGGGCGTGCTCTGCGCCATGCTGGCCTATCTTAGCGCGCTGTCTCGGTGTCGCCTTGGCGGCTTCCACGTTGCCTGGATGGTCAGCCAGCAACGCTACCTCCTTGGCTCCAGGAGAGTCCCGGCATCTGAGCCAGCTCGAGCCAGCCATGCTTTTCCTGCCAATTAACCCATAGTCCAGCCTGTCTCTCAAGAGCCCATGGAACCTCCATGGCCACCAGAGTGTAACCTCTCCCATCTTTCCGCTTTAGTCAAATTCTTGCTCCCAGCTTAGCTGGATGCTCGCCTCCAGGAGCCGTGGGCTCCGGCTGCCGGGCTCCACCTGCCATTCCACATCTCCTCAGATGCCCATACCTGAGACTCTTCTGTCTTTTGACAGTGTTCTTACCCCCAGGTTCAGTCTTTACAACTTGACACCGGCTCCAGAGGCCTGCCCAGCTTTGTCCCAGGGCAGGATGACAAGGTTTCTGCCCTGCTGTTTCCCGAGACAGCTAGACAGGCTGGTTTGCAGGGCGAGGCTGCTCTGATGGTCTGTCCTGCAGGCCCCCGCTGCTGAACCCCATAGACTCAGAGGGTCAAATCCAAGTCAGAGGGGTTCCCTGATTCACTGCTGCCAGCCAGTGGCCAGTGGAAATTTCTGTCCATTTCATACCTACTTCCATCACCTCCTCTTAATCTTGCCACAAATGAATACTGGTCCAGTGAAAACCATTCTCTGATTATTATGATAGGAAACATTTGTTGAACTCTCACTCTGTATGTTAGAAACTGTCCCAGAGAGCACCTTACATGTCCTGTCTATGTCTTCACGATTCTTTGAGATATGAAAGGTATTCTTTGTTGTACAAATGAATAAACTGAGGCACAGAATAAAGGAACTTACCAGTTGGTGCGGCAGGTGAGCCACAAGCCGAGGCCCCTGCTTACAGCCCTGAAAATCCAACTAGGGACTTCCTGTAAGCCCACTTTCTGGGCCCACCTTACTGGGCCAGCTCCCTCTGCAGTCACCAGTTCCGACCCCACCATAACTAAGAGATGCATCCTAACCCTCCCTCCCCACCTTCTCTGCAGCCAGGAGGGCATCCAGAATACTTGCACCCACTGTTGTGGCTGCTTCAGCCCGGCTGCTGCTCTGGCAAATGCTGCAAGGTGTTTGACCGCCAGCAGGGTCACCTTCTGGGGGCAGCTTTGTGGCCTACCAAAGAGCCTCCTGACGGTCTCAGCCTCCCCTCACTCTGCCCACATCAAGCAGCTGGCTATAGAGAAGGGGAACTTGCTATTTAGAAGAGAATCAGAGAGAGCTGTCAGCAGGACATAAATATTCATAGAGGGAGGTTAGAACTCCAGTCCCTAAAACCTTGATTTGTGTTCGTCCGTTTAAGCCTCATTAAAAAGTGGTAAATGAAAGTGGGGATATTCAGTGGAACTGCAGATAAATTGGCCTTGTTCACATAAAGGCCTCCCACTGCCAGCTCCACAAGTCCTGCCCAGAGCACGACACAGACTGGCTCGGCCACTTGTGGTTTGCCAACCTCAATTTAAAGATTTTGCTTAGCATGAGTTCCTGGCCTTGCTCTGGGCCAATTACCACTTGTTTGGGCCCTGGTAGCCTTCCAGACATGTTTAGGGATGAAAATGCCCAGCCTGCTCCCTCCCCAGAATGACATGCAAACCAGAACTGGCCCAAGGGGTAGCAGGGAGAAATCTTAGCTAGAACTCAGACTTGCACTGGGCCATCCACAATGCTCATGATCTCTGTGTGCTGCTTCTCCTAGCTTCCTGCAGCTTCTGTGAGCAGAAGGGGAGGGTTTCAGACTCCTGTTACTACATGAGACTGTAAGGGTCTCTAGCTCTGCCTGCCCATGCCCATCCCTGTTCAGGGCATGGCTACGAATAGTGCCGAGGGCCAGGCTTTGTGGTGATCACAGAGAGGAGACAGATGGCCACCGTGCCGACTAGGCCAGGAGCTACAAAATAGGCAGGCCTAGGGCCCGGGCAGTCACTTACACACATGGATGGACCCACTTGTTGGCTAGACTGGGTGCCTGGGCTACAGGTTTACACTGTCTGCCCTGTGGGCTCCCAGAGTTTGGGAAGATGAGGTCTGGACACATGTCGCTGGGGTGACATAGTATGCGCTTGGCCCACAAGGAGGGCTGATCAATTTGCCAGGGGAAGGAGGCAGTGCCCCTCCAGCCAAAGGCGGCAGAGAACCTCATGTAAGAGCCTCAAGAAAAAGCTGCTTTGGGCCTCCCCTGGTGGCGCAGGCAGTTGAGCATCGCGCTGTGAAGCTGTCCGCAGCCTCTGCAGCGCCAGTTCGATCCTGGCTGGCCAGCGAGGATCCCACATGGCGCAGCAGACCTCTCCTGTCTCGCCCGCTGCTCCCCTCAGCAGTGTATTTCATCAGTCTGCCTGTTCTGCTCCCCACTCTGTCTCTGGTGAATCCTCTCACCCTCCCTCACATTTGGCCTGTACCCCGGTTCTTGTATAAATAAATCTTTAAAAAAAAAAAAGGAAAGAAAGAAAAGGCTGCTTTGGAACCTATTGTGGAATCTGCTGCCCTGATTGCAGTTTCTATACCATGGAAAGCAAATAGCAAGTCTTGGGGTACTGAGGGCTAGTGTATTGGGGGTGCTGTTGTGAAGGCAGGCTGCACAGTGGCCTGAAGCACCTGTTGCAGCTCCACTGCCCTTTACATCAGGCTGTTGCTGTTGGGAAGCCTGGTTCTCCAGTGCCCGGTGCCTGCCTGTTGCCTACAGTGCAGGCACGGGCACAGCTCCTGCCTGTGGCTGTTTCCCAGGACGGCCCTTCCTTTGGTGCCCATTAGCAGAGAAATGACACAATTAACCAGGCAATTAACTGGAGGCTCTGTATTTGCTCCCTCCCACAGGGCCCTGCTTCCGGAGCTGGAGTTAGTAGTGGACTGGGCCTCAGGGGAGAGGGCGGCTGGTGTGCCACTGGACTGGGTGTTGGGACTAGGGAAAGCAGCTGGCCCAGAGCTGCTGGGATAGGTGCAGGCAAAGAAGGCCCAGAGATTTCAAGTGCAGCTCTCCCGGCACCAGCCCCAGGGCATTGTCTGGCTCCAGGATTCTGCCTGGAGTTGCCGATTTCCATTTCTGCAGGGGGCACTTCACTAGGGATTGGAGCAGAGAACTGGCTGAGGCCCTTAAGGAGAGACATGCTCCTCTGGCTCCTCAGAAGTCATCCCATGGGGGAGGGGTGTGTGTGGTAGGGGTGGGGGGAGGGATGTTCTTCCATTTGTGAAGTAGAGGTCGATTTGCTGTCCCTCCCAGTGATGTGGTGAGAATGAGCAGAGTCAAGGATGGAAAATGAACATTACAGAGCTCCAAGGCACTCTCCAGTCGGCCGCTGTGAGGGCCAGGGCACTCTCTGAACCTCCTCCCACCCCCATGAAGTGTGGGCCCCCATGGCCGGGCAGAGGTGCCAAGAGCAGGCAGGACCAGAAAGGTGGGCAGTTAGGGACCTGGAGACTGAGCCTGTCAGAGACAGGGACACAGGTGAACTTTCAAAGCCAAATGCATGTTACCAAGACCCAGGCTTGGACAGTCCAATTCCATATTTGACATTTCCCCACAATACAAATTACTTTCCTAAGAACGTATCTTTAATTTTCCCATAATCAAAACAAATGGGAGAATTGTTATCTCTGGTGGTTAACCTTTTGGGAGCTTAGCTACTTTGCCACAAGTAGGCTACCTCAATGATGGGCACTTTTTGCATAAGAATTAAGGCAGAAAGAAACAGAAATATTTGGGGGCTACATTTTTTTAACACTAATTTTTACTGACTTTTTTAAAAGATTTTTTTATTTATTTATGCATACAATAACCGGAGTATATAGGCCAGAGGTGTGTGTGTGGGGGTGGGAGGCGGTGAGAAGATTCACCAGAGACAGAGTGGGGAGCAGAACAGCAGACTGACTGAAATACACTGCTGAGGGGAGCAGCAGGTGAGACAGGAGAGGTCTGCTGCACCATGTGGGTAGCTGCCTGGCCGGGAATCGAACTCGTGCTGCAGTGACTGCAGATATCGTGATAACACTGGGACTTTAACCCTTGCACCACCAGGGAGGCCCGCCTTTTATTCTAGGATCAGCTGCCTGCGTTGTGACCAGAGCTCGGGTGCTCCATCATGGGTCCAAATGGGTCTTGTGCTGTGGAGACAGAGCTGAGGGGCAGCTGTAACACCCACAGCCATTTCAGTGGGGCACAAAGAGCTTGGGGTGGGAGCTGTCCAAGACTCCTAGCAGCTCTCTCCTCTATCCTGTCCCAGGGTCCCATCTGCTGCCCATCTCTGTCTACCTGCGAGCAGCGTATCAGAGCGAACTCATCGTATGTTATGTTTCAGATCGATGGGTTGGAGAAGAAGCTGTCACAGTGTCGCAGAGACCTGGAGATTGTGAACTGCAGGCTCTATGAAGAGCTGCTGAGCCTAGAAGTCAGGTAATGCCTCCCACCCCCAGTATCTATTCTAGAAGGCTGAGCTTCTGCCCCTCTTGCCCCCGTCCTGGTGTGCGCCAGCTGCCTCTCAGGTGGAAATGGAAAGGACTTGAGCCATAAAACTTTCTCCCTTCGCAGGAGGTCTCTGGAGAGGGAGAAAAACAGCCTGATGAGCAAAGTCTCCAACTATGGTAAGAAAGCCCCCTTCTGTTACCAGCTCCACACACTAGTCCCCAAGGTCAGGAGGGGGCAGACAGCCCAAGGAGCCCCAGGAAATAGGGAGCAAGAGGGTTCTTCGGGAGGAGCCAGATCGCAGGAGGCTGCAGAACCCACTATAGGCCCACTATCTAGAAAGAGCAGGTTTGTTCTTTGTTCCAAGGGAAGAAAGGCCCATGGGTCTGTTTTCCCTCATGAGACAAAGGGATATGGCTGTCACCAGGTCCAGGAAAGACTCACATTCACTCGGACTTGGGAGGGCTCTTCGCCCCCACCCCCAGGAAAACCCTGCCATGGGAGTAAAGGCTATCAGGGCTGGGGCGAAGGAGGAGCCGCTTGGGCTTGGAAGGCTACCACGGGTGGAGCAATGCTGCCACCTTCTGGGCTCTGGGAGCAGAGCCAGGTGGCGCACAGGGCAGGGCTGAGAGCTAAAGCGCAGATGACTGACCACCCCCACCCCACCCCAGTCCCTGTCCTCATAGGCCTGGGAGGAAAAAAGATGCGCGCAGGCTCCTCAGACGTGCGGTTCTCCCAGAGGGCTGGACTTGACCACTAGTCAGCCCAGATGGCAGAAAACCTCCCAGAGGGAGATTTCAAATCAATACAATCCTCCCCCCTACCTGGACTCAGTCTGGCCTGTCCAGAGGTGTGCAGGCTTCTCTCCCTCTCACAAAGTCCAGCATCAGCACTCACTTTAGCCCTCAGAGTACATGTCATGCGGGACGGATACCGTGCAGCTGTAGAATAGCAGGACTGGCTTCAAGACACACTGCCTCCTCTTAGCATCCCTAGTTCCTGCTCACACTGGGCTCCCAGCAGAAGGCTGGGCTGGAAGCATACGCGTTGCCCCACCCATACCTGGTCTAGTGCCAAACCCACCGAGGAGGACCCAGCACTGGCCACCACACAGGGATGTACACCACAGAGCTCGTGCCGGAACAGGCCAGAGGGCTCACCTGGTGAAGCCATGCCCCCACCTAGCTGGGTTTTCAGATGTGGCTTTTTTGGTGACCCCTCCCCCATCTGATCCATCTTCAATTTGGAGAGATGGTTGAACAGCATTGTGTGTTGAGATTTTGGGGGGCTGGGACCTTTAGCCAAAAGGTTGTGAGGATCTGGGCAGACCAAGGACAGTCATTCTTAGGGATAAGGAATTGGGCACTACCCTGCACTCGGTAGTGCCCATTGTGGGAGAGGCAGATGAGAGAAGCAGATGGGCCCAAACTACTTGTTCCACCCCCGCTACTGTTTCGTTTCAGAGAAGGAGCTAAAGTTACTTCGGCAGGAGAACAGGAAGAACATGCTGCTCTCTGTGGCCATCTTCATCCTCCTGACCCTCATCTACGCCTACTGGGTGGTGTGAGCCGAGATCACTCCACAGCCACGCGGGCGTCCCCCCTCCCTAGTCAGGGTCCAGCAGGCCCTTCAAGCCTCAGGACCAAGGTGCGGGAGCATTTCTCCTCGATGCGGACTCCTGAGCACAGCTTCCTGTCAACACAGCCCCACTTGCCTCCCTGTCCTGCTATGGGGCCTGGTCACCAGGACTTTGTGCTGGCTCCTCCCTCAGCCTAAAGGAAAGGCAATAAAGAACACCCGGGCTGCTCCTGTCTGCTGTGTAAATGTCACGGTCTGACTGTAGCTGGGGGGCAGCGGGGGCTGCGCTCAGGAATCAAGAAAAAAGAGATGTTCAAGGGAAAACTCGTGGCTTAGAACTCAGAGGGGAGTGAAGGAGGGGCTATGAAGGTGAGTCCCCAGCTTAGGTGTGGACTAAGGAGACCATGGGAAGCACTTTCCAAGCCAACAGGCTCTGCTGAAAGCTACAGCATGGCTTGGACATCACGGCCGAGAGGCAGACATTGTACCATCTGTCCACCGCCCTCTTACCTTCTAGTCAGTGCCACTGCCTGTAATTATGGCAGGAAAAATGCAGCCTGTGCTGCCAAGGGTGACTTGGGACTTGAAGTGGTCCTGTGGAGGTGCACAGGAGCGCAGAGTTAATCCATCTTTGAGAGGCAGGCAGGGCTAGTGAGGCCTCTCGGAGTGAGTGGGCAGCAAGAGCCATGGTAATGACCACACAGCCTTACGGTGACAGTGGCCAGTAAATCAGGTGGGGTTTTGCAGTGAGTGGTAGGGGTGGGGCTGATTGGGGGGAGCAGAAGCAGCAACACAGACATCACCCGCTGCCCTTCAGCACACTCTTAACTCTCCAATCCCAGCAGGGGCTGGGGAGGCCAGTGAGGGCAACCAAAACAATGAAGCTGCTTCGGCTTGGGCGCTGGGATGACACCAATTACAAAAGTAAAAGCAAGGAGAAGAGTTGCCCTGGGAGCTGCGCTATGTGCCATCAAGGAAGGTTCCTTGGGGCCAGGGTTAAGGAGTCAAGCAAAGTGGGGGGATGGGGAGCATGCACCAGAGTGATGGAAGCGGGGGTGGGGAGGATCTGGTCTGGAGCAGAGAGGGAGGCCATCAGCATCTGCACATCCCCCACCCCAAGCACAGTCCCCCGAGGAGGGGAGGCGCAGAGCAGGGGAGGCCGGCCAGGGTCAGCAAAACCATCTCTCCCTCCCTCTCATACCCTGTCTAGTGACACTAATTGGTCTGACGCCTCTGTTATTTTAGTCACAGACTGATCCTGGATTGTCACAGTGCCACGGTGGAGTGAGCTGTGTGATTTATGTAAGGGGGAAGGTGCCTCCTGGCCCCGCTGGGCTGTAGGTTCATTCATTCTCCAGTCTCTGCTTCCAACAGGAGCCACATAATTTCCTGACTCTTCTGGGGCTCAGTCTCCAGCAGCAAGCAACAGTCTGAGCCTGCCGGGGCCCAGGAACTTAGGCTGTGATCAAACCTTTTCTCCCCTCTTCTTTGAGTAGAACTTCCTCTCCTTCACCTCTCCAGCCCCAGCTATTTCATCCAGGCAAGTCCCAGACCACAGAGCACGGAGGACAAACAGCAGCAGCCCTAGCACATAGTCACACAGGCATTAAAAATATGTTTATCTTTAATGATCCAAGATTCTGCAAGACACACGGATATACCCAGAATTGGGTGGAAATACAGCATCTCAGTGGTGCTGCTGCCAACCTGGTCGGGGCTGGGGGATGGGGTGGGGGGGGTCGGATGCTGGCTGGAGACCTCACAGTGAAGTCAATTCCAACCTCACTGGGAGCCTCAGTGCCCTATCTCCATGGAAACCAGTCTAGCACTGGGATGGGACCCTAGGGAGCCCATATGAACATCTCTGAGAGGTATTTCCTATTAAAAACAACCACAGGTGCCCTCCCCCACCCAAAGCTACTGCCCAGTTTCCCCTCTTCCCCCTCCGCCTCTGCCAAGATAGAGGAAATGGAGTGACCACACACGGACAAACAAAAGTGACTGTACCCCCTACTGGGGAAGGAAGAAAGAGGTTGGGATAAGGGTAGCAAGGTGGTGTGGCAAATGGGGGTGCCATGATTGCCAGGGGGGGGCTAGGTGAGACCCAACCCCAGAGGTACCCCCTGTTCTAGTCAGGCCCCAGCTGCTGGGACCTAGAAAAAGGCAGCTCTTCAAGGCTGCGTCTTCCCCTTCCAGAGCTGCCCAAGGTTCAGATCAAAAGGGGCTAGGATCCAAGAAGGGCATACAACCCCAGGCGGCAGTCACACTCGCAACCTAAGACAGCATGACCTGCATCCCACTGTTACCAGGGATGTGTGGCCCACACACCTCCCCTCCCGACCTCCTCTGACCTGTCAGAGGTCCAGGCTGGGAAGAACTGCAGGGAAGACCAGGACAGGGCGAGGAGGAGACAGAATCTTCAACTTGGCATCAAAACAGCAAGTTCAAAGAAAGAAAACCTTGATTTGTACAGCAGCTGCTCCTGGGCAGCTCAGAATAGTGGGCCTCTACCCACTCAGGGTTGGCCCAATAAAAAGCTGGGCAAAGTGGGCGCATGGCTGCCCTCAGGACAGTGCACAGAACTCAGAAAAGTGAGTCTACAGGATACAGGCAAGAACAGTGGACCCTGAAGCCCTGCTGCTCTTTGACACCTCCTCTACTGGCCCCACAGACCTAGACCCTGAACTCAAACCTGCTCAGGAGCAGCGTCCTTCAGGCCAAGTCTTGGCAGAGTAGACAGTTCCCAGGCAGGTCTCCGCGGAGAAAGTCCAAAAGGTGTCCCAGAAGGAACATGTGAGTATCGCTGAAGGCCCCTAACAGATCTTCAGGGGAGATGGAGAGGAGACCGCCCATCCATCATGGGCAGGCTGCAGTGACCATGCTCCCGAGTCCCTTTCCAGAAGGAACCAGTACCAGAAGCCCAGGCACAATGCCCTGACTCAAAGACAGGGCATTCGGCAGGGGTGGGTGTCCCCTCAGGCGCTGTGTGTCTGGATGAAAGAGAGGACAACCTCCTTGGACAGCTTGTCTGGATCCTGGGGTTTCTGGGAGTCGTGCACACGGATGCCATCCCCCCACTCCCAGAAGAGCCGGCCATAGTAGCAGATGCTGGAAGGGGGGCAGGGAAAGGTAGTCAGAGCATTGCATCTAGGGGGAGCAGGACCAAGAAACCACCATCCACCCCTGGCTGCAGTGACTTAGGGGGTGGGTGTGTTCTTATCAATGGCTCATTATGGGACTTCCCTCTGGCAACCAAAGGGTACCCAACAGGCCCCAGCTCCTCTCCCTGCCTCCCCAAACAGCTGCTGCTGCTAATTGCATCCAACTGGATTTCTACAATTACTGATATTCCTGGTTTTTCTGTGTGAGCTACTCTAATGGAACAGTATTGGTGTGGTGACAGAAACCAGTGTCAATGGCTAATTATAGGCACGTGAGGGCTGCTGGCTGCTGTCAAAACCCATGACTACCATCTGGCAAATGGACAGTGGGTACTGATGAGGGACAGTTGGGACTCTGAATCCAGCGGACCAGGGCTGTCGGCATGTTCCCACCACCAGGCCAGCATCAGAACTTCATGTAAGCAGCGGCCGCTCCAGATACCCAGCTTAGGTGGGGCCTTTACACCCAGCAGCCCCAATCAGCGCAGTCCAGGCATCACTCTCCTCTCACCCGCTTACCTCTCAGGCCCATAGAGGGTTTATCCCACCCCATAGGAAGGAGGGTGATCCCAATAGGAATGGAGCCCAGCCCATGCTTAGGGGATCCCCTGTGTCACACAACCAGGGCGTGCCCCAAGACGGCTGGCTGGCGGCATGGAGTAGCTGGGACTGCTGGGAAGCAGGCCTGGAGGGTGATAGCTACTTACTGAAATGGGGCAATGGAGTCTGCAGGGAGGTCAAAGGTAGAGGTCTTGGTTTTCTTATTGTAGAAGAACTTCCTCTTGGAGCGTCTGCTGAATCCCATAGTCCATGGCTCTGACAGGAGAGGGGAAGAAGTCCAGAAAGGACACAAAATACCCAGGTCAGGTCAGTGTAGAGGCTTGCCCTTCTCCACTGGCATTCTTTCATTCTCTCCCACAAAGCACAGGCACAGAACAGCCTGGAGTGTGCAGCCTTCCTCAGCCAAAAGGGCTCCAGGAGGACAAATGAGATGATCATTTCTCAGCCACCACACTCCAGTTCAGAACACCTCTGGGCCCCTGGCAGAGGGTGCAGGACTGTCAGCTATCGCACACTAAAAGAAAAGGGGTGCTACAGGGGATGCAAATGGACAGAAGCCAAGTCTGACTTTCTAAATCTGCTGCTGTCCCCTGAAATGGCCTTTTTCCAGCCATGGGGACAGTCATGTGAATATATAGCATATACCTCAGAGAATGATGCCAGCCTGGCTGCTGCCCACCTTAGTAGGGAGGCCCTAGCTCTGACTCTGGTCAGCTGCCCTGGCTATGGGCAGGGGGAGAAGGAACACTCATTCATCACCCACCATTCACGGTCCTGACGATGTAGAGGCCAGTGGGCACAAAGTGCCGGTCGTCCCGCCCTGTGTAGCTGAGCTTCGGTGTGCCGCTGGAGCCCTTGATGATCTTCATTTCTAACCTGAGTTCCCCAGTAGATGTACAAACAGAACACATGAGTGTATATGATGAGAAAGTTACTCTGGCTTAAATCAAAATCACATCAACCACAGTATCTTATCTTGACTCAACATAAGAAAACCAAGGCAGAGACTTAGGTGAGTGTTCCAGGAGCTTAGTGCAGTACTAGGTTTAGAACTATCTCTGAACTCCCAGCCAAGCAATGGAAGCAGGGAGTAAGAGCTGCCCCTTCAATGCTGTTGGTGTTTGGGGGGCAGGAAGCAGGGCGGGGGGGGGAGGAGGGGGAGTGAGGAGTGGCTTCAGGGTAATGAGTAAGGGTAAAATCTGATACCTCGGTGCCACCGGGCTTCAGTCTACCACCCATGGCATCACTGTGGCCACTGAAGAGTTAACAAGAGCACTGAGACCCAGCCCATCTCCCTTGGCCACAGCGGGTGCACAAGCAGGATGAGACCTGCACACCGCTAAGAATACAATGAAGTGGCGATGCCCCCTCCACCCCTCCAGGCTCAATCTCTGTCAGCACTGGGAGCTGGGATTTATGGTGTTTCAAGCAGCTTGCTACTCTGCCCCTCGCAGGGACAATCGTAACTATTACAGCATCAATGAGCCCGTATTTCTGCTTGACACACTCCCGCCCTGCTCCCCTCCTGACAGGGTGCTGAATCAGCTCTCAGCCGGGGGGCTCTTGGCGGCAGCAGAGGCAAGGTGGAATAAAGGCAGCCAGCCTGAGCTGATTCACCACCCCTGCATCTCAAAAAAATAAACAACAACAACAAAAAACCAGAACAAACCTGGACACTGCACACCCACCACCCCAACTCTCTTAAATCCAACCAGCTACCCTGGTTGAGTCGCTCACCTGACAAAAATCTTCTCCATCTCCTCCAGCCTGTATACCTCCTTCACCCTGTGGAGCAGATGGATAGACAGAGGGCCAGGGCTTCCTGGTGGAGCATTCCTGTCAGGGCAGCAGCTGGGAGGCAGGAGGCTGTGCCCGTCCTCACCCCCTCTACCTCAGGCCTCTGTACCACTCAGCCCACCAAGAATGACCCTCAATCTGTCCCACACAGAGAAATGCTGGGTTTCACAGCTGCCAAGGGCCCCCTGGGCCTGTCCCGGGGTGACTGCAGAGTGCAACTGTGGTAGATGGGAAGGAGAGACCAGGAAGGCATGGCAGACAGGATGTCTCTGCCAGCATTCCCTAGGTCTTCTCATCAGAGGCCAAAATACCAACGGCCCAACTCTTGCCCATGTTTATCTACATGGATTTTAGGCCTTTCTGTAACAGAGTTACTTCCAAATAGTCCTGATACCTATTACCAGGGGGCAGAGGAACTGCTGTCCAGGATGCAGGGCTTATGTCTGATGCCCAGTCTTCCACCTAAGGAGACCTTTGAACATGCCTTTGGAATTGCTACTGGGTAAGGTCCCTGGAGACCCAGCAACCTGATCACAGGCAGGGCCCCTGAAAGTTGCCCCTTAAAACCTGACAGGACATTTTAAGTCCAGGAAGAAATTGCTTTTCAGCTCTCAAAAAACATCAATAATGTACATTCTCACTACTGGATTTGAGTAGATTTACATTAATAAAAATGATTTTGATAAAAGTATAGACACCCCAGTCTCTAGTCAAATGAAACCCAAAATGCAGTAACATCAGACAACAGAGCACCACATAAGTTTGTTTTCCATCTCTCTGTCCCAACTCTGCTCTCACCCAGTTCTCTTCCCTCAAGGACCTAGAATGTTCACAGTACCTAACATGGCAACAAACCCTGGCCTTCTTCCAAAGTACCAGGATGCCACTCCCTCAAAAACCACCTTTTCTTTTTCATGTTCAAAAACCCTATTCCCTGGGGAAGGGAAGCAGATGGAGTATGGGCACAGGTAGTTTGGTTGAAGATAAAAAAAAAAAAGCAAAAAACTCCCATTTCCACAGCACTTTTTTCTTACTTGAAAAAAAAAAATAAAAAGGCCAGGTGATATGCTAATGATACTCGAGTGTGAATTCATGATTCACAAGGTCTGTTAGCACTCTCAGAAGCATGTGCATCTTAAATGAGGACGCCTTAACCCCTAAGATGAATCTTTCCTGTGGGGGTTCACCCCAGTGTCGGTGGGATGGAGAGATACTCTGGGGTGAAGGAGCAACCTACCTAGCACCCCCAAACAAGTCATTCATCAAGGGTGTTCCTCCATCCCTCCCATCCCCACGGGACAGGAAAGCAGGCACTAGCCAGAGACATAATGGAGAAGGGGGATTCAGAAGAGTGAGAGAGACCATGAGCTTACCTGATGGGATTCATGTCAGGCCGACTGGGCTTCGAGAGAGCTTTCACAAATTTCTCAGCCAGCTGAATCCTGAAATGCAGAGAGGCAATCAGAGACTAGCAAGGGTGACTCCACCAGCACCCCTGTCCCCAGGTCATTTGTATTGTAAGAGAGCACTTGTGAACTGGCAACAAGACTGCCCTGAGAACAGCACTCACATTCCCCAGGAAGCCCACATGCCCCTCTCCACAGATGTCTTTATGAAGCCTCTCCCCCTCACTCTGGATGCTGATCTCCAATTTCACTACATCTTGGTTATTTTCCTGTAGTGTGCCATCAGCTATGTTCAGTCACCTCTACCTGAACTTCAACTATCACCTTATCGTATGTGGCTGCCACATTACCACAGTTGCCACAGCACACCTCTTCAGAGGAGATCACTTAGGAGTGCTGGCAGAACCATAGCAGTGTGAGATGTGCCTCCCCCACCTCCCTTAGCAAATGATTAGGCCCCCATTCACAAACAAAAGTATCTTTGTGGAAGCTGTGAGTTCCAGAGAGTTGACTAAAATGGGGCTGCACAAGACATATTCTTCAGAGGAGAAGATACCTTCATCTCCCCATAAACCTTAAGCAAACATCACCTCTGAGCTGAACAACTGTGGCAAAATGGAGCATGCAGGTATCTGTGACAACCAAGGCCCAAGCCCTAGCAAACTCGGAAATGGCAACACCAATTTCTAACCCTGCCCTTGGAACCAGCCAGTGGATAGGAAAAGGAAACTCTTAAGGCTGTCCTTAAGCAGAAAAGTGCTAAATAAGGGGTGAAGCCTTGGAGGATGATGCCATAGAGCTACCCTGCTTGTATCCCCCAACCCCGAAAAGGGCCCAGGTCAGACCGCTGGTTAAAGTGCTGCTCCCGCACGTCGCTGCCATTCAGCACAAGGACATCCAGGATGTGGATTGCACTAATCTTCCGCTGGGCCTTCCCCTAGAAGGACAAGGACACTGCTCACCATGCCAGGCATCTGCCTCAGGCCCACTCTGCCCACTGTGGGTATGCCAGCCTTCAGTCTACCTATAGCCAGGGGAAGGGAAGCAGCTCTAAACACAGGGCATTTCTCTTGCCTCCCTCCCAGCTGATTCCCAGCACCAGACAGGTTGGGCTCAACTTCTCTGCAGCTAGAGATCTGAGCTTCTGGGTAATAACCCCTCTTGAACCCCAAACCCAAGGTGGTACTGCCTTGGTGCTCCAGCCAGGGCCTGGCTTCACACTCTTTGCCAATTGTTCCACTGGCTGTCTAAATGTCATCTGTGTGGCTGTGATACCCGAGCTCATGGGCAGTAACAAGGTGCTTCTTTCCCAAGGGATGCCTGGTCAAAAACTAGGCCACCAGGGTGCTCAATGCACAGAGATGATCAAGGTCTCTCCTTATACTCCTAGAGTCTGTGGTCCTCCCACCTGAATGACTCAGAACAACTGCTCAGGAAAAAGGAGTAATTACAATGCCTTTCCTGACCCTGCACTCTGCCAAGTACACATACATTGTAACCCAGTAAACTTGGGGGAAAGGCCAGGTCCAGCAGTACCCCAGTCCCCAAGCTGGGAGGGCCAGAATGTGTGAGCAGAACCACCTCTGACCTCCCCTTTCAGCTCATGCACAATCTCCACAGAGAGCAGAGTGTCCCGGGGTAGCTCTGTCTTCAGGTCCAGCTTGACCCAGCGGTCTGACTGGCGGCCATCCCATGTGTAGATCTGGGACTTCTATGGGCAGAGAAAAAGGGTCAGGTCAGGCAAGCGTGGAGACAGGGAGAGGAGAGAGACTCAGTTCTCAAAAAGGCTTTTAGTTGGTGGTTACAAGCTCATGGGGCTGAGAAATATCAGAAGAAAATGTGTAGGAGAGATCAGTCTGCTATACTTTCAATGCTAAAGACACAGTTGTCGTCCACTGCCTATCTGAAGAGAAGTAGAGAGTGGCTCAGTGCTGTTGGCAGCAAACACACCCAGCAAACAGACCTAAGTCTGTGATTAGTGACCCTCAAGAAAGACCCTGCTTGATGTATGGCTAAGGTGGGTTGGTGAGGGGTCTAGAAAGCAAGGAAGGAGAAAGTGAAAAGAGAAGAAAAAAAAAGTGTGCGAGAACACAAACAAAGTGAGAAAAGAGGAATACAATCATATGAAAAACAAGTGAGGGTAAAAAAAAGTGCAATGACTTTACTCAATTAAGTGCAAACTGCCAAACTTCCTTCATCTCAAATTTAAGACTCCGGGATGAGGACAGGTGGTTTCTTTGCAAGACAGAGGATGACAAGGGGTGGTGGGGTTTTGCAAAGAGACTTGAGTATGGGTAGCCAGATTAGCTTGCTGACCATGCTGCTAGCCTAGAAAGCTCGATATCGTAAGAGGCAGGATTCCTTTTAGCAATGTACAGAGATGAATAAGCAAATACATGAATAAAAGTGAAAAGATAGTGGGGGTGGGAAGAACAGAGAGAGAGACTTAGCTAACTCAGAGAAAAAAGGAAATGAAGTTTCAAGAACTACCTTCCCTGAGGTCAAAGTCCTAGGTCCTTGGTGCCAGAGAACATACACCAAGTGTGGCAGGCAGCTGTCCTGATTCCCACAGACAACAAGGTTCCACCATCCCCAGCTGGGGAGGAAGTGAGTTGCAGACTTACCCCCAGCCCGATAAGGAATTTCTGCTCGCTGCCAGACACCATGCAACGATAGTCGAGCACTGGGCGGATCTTCTCCAGGGTTTTGGAAGTGAGCAGTGTGGGCTTATAGCTGAAGATGTCGATCTCAGTGCCCTGCAGCCCCAGGTACGAGAAAACAAGGCTGGGTTGGGGGAAGGGACAGGCGCTCAGTATGGGTGCCTGTATGGGGGTTGGGGCAACTGGGAGAGGCAAGGGACAGCAAGCATTTGCTCTCTAAAACACCCTCCCCCTCAACTCCCTCCACCTCCTACCTAAGCATGCACTAAATGAGATCTATTTCCATTTGCTTGCAGTGTTCCTTTAGGACCTATAAGGAGAGGCTGGCAAAGGCAAGTACACCAAGTATCTGAGTATAGATTGATTTACCAGCGTTATAAGGAAATGCCACCAGAATACAAAAGCTACTCCCTTCAATAAAACTGAAGGCAAGGACTTGCTAGTAGTTGGTTTGAGAACATTAACTGATCTTCCTCCTATTCAGAAAAATGTACATATGCTGCTCTTTTGAGGTCGTTGTGAAACCCTGCTGCCACAAAACCATGATCTGTACCAGTTAAAACAAAGCCTAGGGAAAAGTCAGATGGCAAAAAATAAAAGGGAAAAAGAATTCAGCGGACTATCTCTCAGAAACAGAACAGGGAGTAGAGGTCAGGCCAGTCCACCAGAGGGCTCTCTTGGCAGCCCCTCAGGCCTCTGCCCAGCTCCCTGCCTAAGATCATCCCACACTTCATGTCTCCCCCACGGGCATAACTCTCAGACTCTGATCTGGCCAGGGGGTGATTGCCAGCACCGCCCTTTGCATCGTAGGAGCGATGAACACAACACATCTCAAGACAAAACCTCCACGTAGCCTGATGGTCTCTCGGGGAACACCACCCTATGCCAAAGGTCTTGCCTGAGGCAGCCTCAGAGCCTGGGTGGGACCTGAACAAGCCCTCCACAGGCCAGGCTTGCTTCTGGTGGTCTCAGTGATACCTTCCACACCTAGAGTTAGACCTTCCTAACATTTTATGTCCACCAATCCCAAACTTACCTGAATTAGCTCAAAGAACTTAGATTTCGGGTCTGAGGAAGAAGGAGCAACTCGAGCCTGGTCTGGTATCTGAAATGACAACAAAGAATTTTAAATGCCCATTTGAATTTTAAAATGCCCTTCCACAAAGCTTTTTTTTTCCCCAAAAAAAGATTTATTTATTTATGCATACAAGAACTGGAGTACAGGCCAGAGGTGTGGGGGGTAAGAGGATTCACAAGAGACAGAGTGGGGAACAGAACAAGCGGATCTACTGAAATACACTGCTCAGGGGAGCAGCGGGCGAGACAGGAGAGGTCTTCTGCACCATGTGGTCGGCTCCCTGGCCAGGTATCGAACTCATGTCACAGTGGCTGGCGATAGCCTGACAGTGCTGAGATTTAACCCCTGTGCCACCAGGGAGGCCCAAGGCTTTGTGTGAATAGATACAGGTAAGGAGACAGGCTAAGACTGGAAAGGAAGAAATGGTACATAACAAAGGGATTTAGGAAGATGAGGGATGGAGATTGATAATTCAGCAATGCCCTGAATGATGAGCACCACACATCTCAAGAGTGTGCTGTGGTAGCACACTCCAAAGGCTACTCTGTTTTTTGGGGGGGGTCTCTATGGTCAGTGTTGATATACAGGGACACCACCTGCAAAATGAGGTCTGTTTACTTATCCCTGTCCTTTCTGACCCAGCTGCAGGGTCAAACTGGCAATGAAAGGGCCAAGGAAACAACTGAGATGAGGCTCAGTTGGGCTGAGCCTCAACAAGGTGGAGATGTCCAGCTCTGGAATGCTGTGAGAGTGAGCAGGCATTATCAGATCAGGGGAGACCTTAAGATGACAGGGTTGGGAGTCCATCCCATTCTTCACTATAACTTCCCCATCCTGGAACAACAATTAGCTGGGGAGATGCTCACCCCCCAAAGTCGGAGGCATTCTTTCCGGATCTCTGCCTGCCGAGGCTCACTCAGGGTCCTGGGAAAATAAAAACATCAAGTAATTAAAACCTCCAAGTGGCACAAGGAGTACATTTTCAATGTGTCCCTCAGAACCCCATAGAGAGGAAGCCTGAATGGTGAATGCATGTGACTACAAAGTCATGCTACATAGCCCAATGTGCTCATAACATCACATGGCTCTGCCTCTTGAAGGTAGGAGCTCAGATGTACAAAAAAATGGGATGACCTCCCCTTCATGTAACAACAGGAAGGGGAGAGATTACCCTCCTGACCACCCTCTTCCAATTACCCACTGACACATTCTGACTTTTCCTCTGCTGACATAGGTCATACTAAGTCCATCCTGGTGGATGTCAATATGCCCCAGAAAACTGAATTAGCTTATACTCACCTACCCTCCCCACCAGAGATTTTCCTTGACCAGTCCCACTTTCCTTCTCTTGACCATTCTTTACCCTCTGTCCCTTGATCATTATGTACTCTACTCAAGCTATGCTACTCTACACCCCCAATGCACTGTTAATAATTTTTTCTGTATCCTTGTCCTAGTTACTCTTACCTACCTAAAGACAGCATAAAGTCTTTGAGAATCAGGTTTGGGGCATATGTTTAAGCAGAGTATGAGATAGAAGAATAGGTACTTTTAAATGTTTGTTGAAATGAAATGAACAAAGAGCTCAGGGGGAGGAGCAAAACAAAAAGGTCTTTCCTTGAAATAGTGAATTTTGTAAAGTGAACAACACTCACGTGTCTTGAACAAAGGCATGAATTTTGGCCAGAGCTTTGATCTGCAGACTACAGTGGCTAGAAGGGGGGGAAAAGATTTGATCTCAGACATATTATCAAAACAACAGTTGAAAGACATCAGAACAAAGTTTAGCTACAGAAGTAGCCATCTATGTTTGGGGAAAGAGCAGGAGTTGAGGAAAACACTCCAACCACACTGAGGTACAATTTACATGAAGTGTGCTGAAGGCTGAGGGTAAACAGAACTGAGTCTAACTCTCTAGTCATATCCCAAGTCCTACAAAGGAAGGGTCCAATCCCATCCTTAAAATTTTGAAAGCAGTAGTAAACTTATTCTAACAACAAGCTCAGACTGTTCATCTAGACCAAACTGATTCAATCCACCTTCATCAACAGTCACAATTTCTACTTTAGTTCTTTTATATACACGTAATGCCTGCCATTTAATTAGAAAAGTATGATCACATGATAAAACAAGAATATTGGCAAGAAGGAAAATAGTCCAATAGAGGAACAGTTCACTTTGTACCAAAGATGTTAATAATGCTGGAATTATCAGACAGGGCCCTTAAAATAATTAAAAGTTCTAATGCAAAAGATATGTAACATGCATACTGAAATGGAGAATATCATCAGAGATAAACTATACTTCAAAAGGCAAATAAAGTTCTAGAAATGAATTATTTTGATGGAATCATCAGCAGATTGAACACAGTAGAGGAAAGAATCAGAGAACTCTAGGACAGACATATCACCAGAAACCCATATAAACGGAAAAACAAATGACAGGGCATGTGAATTCTGTGACATAATAACAAACAGCTTAAAACATAAATATAATTGGAGTCCCAGAAGCAAAGGAAACAATAAGACAAAAATATTGACAAAATAATACCCAAGAATTTTCCCAAACTGTTGAATAAAATCATTTCACACATCTAAGGTCAGAGAAACCTAAGCAGAATCAACACAAAGAAAACCAAACATAAACACATCATGGTCAATATCCTAAAAACAAAAGATAAAGAGAAAATCTTGAAAGCAGAGAAAGAAAGATACATGACAACAAGGAAACAATGCTAGAAATAACTGCTGATTTATCAGAAACAAGTAAGGCAGAGAACAATAGAACAATAACTTTAAAGCACTAAAAGAGGGCCTTCCTGGTGGCGCAAGGGGTTAAGCACAGGACTGTGAAACTATCCGCAACCTCTGCAGCAGGAGTTCAATGCCCGGCCGGCCGGGGAGCTACCCACAAGGCACAGCAGATCTCTCCTATCTCACCCTCTGCTCCCTTCAGTCAGTCTGCCTATTCTGTTCCCCACTCTGTCTCTGGTGAATCCTCTCACCCCCAGAACCTCTGGCCTATACCCCCGTCCTTCTATGCGTAAATAAATAAATCTTAAAAAAAAAAAGTGCTGAAAGAAAATCAACGTGGACCTCATATTCTATACCTAATGTAAATGTAATTCAAAAATGAAATGAAAATAAATGCATTTTCAAATAAACACATAGTTCTCTACTTTGGTTGTTTGATCAAGGATAAAGGATAGTCTTTTCAACAAAGGATGTTGGAAAAACTATATATATCCACATAGAAAAGAATGACTTTATGCCACTTATCAAAATTAACCCCAAATGGATCTAAGAGCTAAGACTACAAAACTCTTAAAACTATAAAATTCTTGAAACTATAAAACTCTTGAAACTATAAAACTCTTAAAACTATAAAACTCTTAAAACTATAAAACTCTTGGGCCTCCCTCATGGCACAGGTGGTTGAGCACCACTGTGAAGCTGTCCACAGCCTCGGCAACGTGAGTTCGATCCCAGCGGGCCAGGGAGAAACCCACATGGCACAGCAGACCTCTTCTGTCACGCCCGCTGCTCCCCTCAGCAGTGTATTTTGTCAGTCTGCCTGTTCTGTTCCCCACTCTGTCTCTGGTGAATCCTCTCACCCTCCCACACATCTGGCCTATACCCCGGTTTTTGTATAAATAAATAAATAAATAAATCCTTAAAAAAAAAAAAACTATAAAACTCTTAGAAGAAAGCATAGGGAAAAGCTTCATGACATTCAATTTAGCAATGATTTCTTGTATATGATAGCAAAAAGCATAAGCAATAAAACAGACAAACCAGACTTCATCAAAATTAAAAACTTTTGTGCATCAAATGATATAATCAATCAAGCTAGAAAACAACTACAGAATGGAAGAAAATATTTTCAATTCATATATCTAGTAAGGGATTATTTATTCAGGATTTTAAAAACTCCTAAAACTCAACAACACACAAACAACACAATTCAAAATTCAAAAATAGGCAAAGGCCTCCCTGGTGGTGCAAGAGGGTTAAGACACAGCAATATGAAGCTATCTACAGCCACTGCTGCACGAGTCTGATCCCCAGCCAGGGATCTACCCACATGGCGCAGCAGACCTCTCCAGTCTCACCCGCTGCTCCCCTCAGCAGTGCATTTCAGTCAGTCTGCCTGTTCTGTTCCCCACTGTTTCTGGTGAATCCTGCTCACCCCCTGCACCTCTGGCCTGCACCCCAGTTCCTGCATGCATAAATAAATAAATCTTTAAAAAAAAAATAGGCAAGACTTGGCATTGACAATTCTCCAAATATACAAATGATCAATTAAGCACATAAAAATATGCTCAACGTCACTAATCAGTAAGGTCATGCAAATAGGTACTACTTCTCACTTAAGAAAACAGCTATTATAAAAGGGGGAAAAAAGGACAGTAACAAGTGTAGGTGAAGATGTTGGAAAAGTGAAATCCTGGTACACTGCTGAAAGGAATGTAAAATGGTGCCACTACTATGCAAAATAGTATAGCAATTCCTCAAAAAGTTAAGCAGAATTACTATAAGGCCCATCAATTCTACTTCTGGATATATACCCAAAAGAACTGAAATCAGAAACTAAAACAGAGACTTGCAAACCAATGTTCATAGCTAAAATGTGGTACCCAAAGGGCAACCAACAGATAAATGGGTAACAAAATGTAGTAGGTACACAGAACATGTAGCCTTAAAAAACAATGAAATTCTAACACATGAAATCTGTCCCTTCCACAACTTGAAAACATTATGCTAAGTGAAATAAATCAGACACAAAAAAATAACTTTTTATGATTCCACTTACATGTGGTAGCTAGAATAGGCAAATTTTACTCTGCTCATAGAAAAACGAAGTATAATAGTCTACCACGGGTTAGAGATGAGGGGATAGGGAATTATTATTTAATGGTGTTTAACAGTGTTTCTGCTTTAGGGCCTCCCTGGTGGCACAAGGGGTTAAGCACCGCACTATGAAGCTATCCACAGCCTCTACAGCACGAGTTCAATCCCCAGCCAGCCAGGGAGCAAACCACATGGCACAGCAGACCTCTCCTGTCTCGTCGCTGCTCCCCTCAACAGTGTATTTCACTCAATCTGCCTGTTCTGTTCCCCGCTCTGTCTCTGGTGAATCCTCTCACCCCTTGTATCTCTGGCCTCTACCCCAGTTCCTGTATGCATAAAATAAATAAATCTTAAAAAAAAAAAACAGGGTTTCCCCAGTGGCGCAGGGGTTGAGCGCTGAGCTGCAAAGCTGCCCGCAGCCTCTGCAGCGCCGGTTCAATCGCCAGCTGCCAGTGAGGGTCCCACATGGCGCACAGACCTCTCCTGTCATGCCCACTGCTCCCCTCATCAGTGTCCTCCGTCTGTCTGCCTGTTCTGCTCCCCGCTCTGGCTCTGGTGAATTCTCTCACCCTCCCGTGCTTCTGTCTGTACCCAGGGCTTATATAAATAAATAAATAAATCTTTAAAAAGAAAAAAAAAAGTGTTTCTGTTTTAGATGATTAAAAAATTCTGGAAATGTACAGTCGCAGGGGTGGCACAATATTCATGTACTTACTACCACTGAATTATATATTTAAAAGGGGTCAAAATGGTGAATTTTACATTATGTGTATTTACCACAATAAAAAAAAAAAGACTCAAACTTTTTTAACTTATGCTTATCAAAAATGCACTAGTAAGAAAATGAATAGGCAAGTCACAGACTAGATAAAATATTCACATAACAAATACTTGATATAGGACTTGCATTCAGCATTTATAAACTCCTACAACTTAAAAGACAAATCAAATTTTTTAAATGATTGAGAGACTTGAAGAGAGACTTCATAAAAGCCTACAATAGCCAATAAACAAATGAAAAGGCATCCAGCATCATTAATCACCACAGAAATGCACACTGAATGCACAATAATACAACACTACACCTGACTAGACTGGATAAAATGAAAAACAACAACAAAAACTGACAAAGCCAAATGCTGACAAAGATGCACAGCAATCAGAACACTCACACTTTGCTAGAGGGAGTAAAAATTGGCACAACCACTTTAGAAAACTATGTGACATTCTAGAAAAGTTAAACACACATCGGGGCCTCCCCTGGTGGCGCAGCGGTTGAGCGCTGGGCTGCAAAGCTGCCCGCAGCCTCTGCAGCGCCGGTTCGATCCCCAGCCACCAGGCGAGGGTCCCACATGGCACGCAGACCTCTCCTGCCGCCCGCTGCTCCCCTCAGCAGTGTACTTCGGTCCTTCTGCCTGTTCTGCTCCCTGCTCTGGCTCTGGTGAATTCTCTCGCCCTCCCGCCCTTCTGACTGTACCCAGTGCTTGTATAAATAAATAAATAAAATCTTTAAAAAAAAAAAGTTAAACACATATCTACCTCTGACCTAGAATTTTCACCACAGGGTATTTGCCCAAACTAATGAACAATACACTGGTCCACCAAAAGCCCTGAACAAGAATGTTTGCAGCAGTTTTCTTCATAATAGCCCCAAACTGAAAATACCACAAGTGTATATCAACAGGAGAATAAATTACGGTATAGCCACACAATGGGTATTTTAATTCAACAATAAAGAAGGAAGCAACACAACAAAAATGAATCTCAAAATCATTATGGTGAGAGGGAAAAAAAGCTCGATACGAAAGTGTATTCATGATTACAAATAAGCAAAACTAACCTGTAATGATAAGCATCAGAAAAATGGTCACTTCAGCATTTATAAACTCCTACAACTCCCAATCCAGGGTTGACTGGGTTGGGACACAAAGAAATTTCTGAGGTGACAGAAATTTCTTTTTTAACATTAATAGGGATGTAGGCTACATGGATATATGTATTTGTCAAAACTAACTGAAGTGTACACATACAAGCTGCATTTCACCAATGGAATTATACCTTAATTTTTAAGAACAAGAAAGAAAAAGCAATTGATTATAGTGTTACTTAAACACTTTGTTAGATGGCAGTAAGGCTTAATGAAAAGAAATCCTCTGTTACAAAGCTCTGGCTTTGCTGATTCTGGGCGGATCCCCAGGCTTGTTTCTTCATTAAAATGTGCTGAAGCTTAGTATCAACTCCATCTTAGTGCCTAGCATTTCTATCAAGATGACAGAACTTATGTGGCAGTACTAAGGGGAATTAAAATACCTTGAGATGATGGGAAAGAAGAGGATAAAGACTTTCTTTCCATGACTGTCCAGAGCCACCTTCTCTGGAAGACAGGATGGCACACTTAGAAATGACCTTTCCAGACTGTTGGGCCCCCTCAGGAAGCACTTTCATTGATTCACTGCCACTATATAACTCTCAATCTACCTCAAAAAACCTTTCTCTAAGGCCTGCCCACCTAGGAAAATGAGTCAACAGTCACAACTTAACATTAGTACCAATAATGGGGAGAGGAAAAAACAAAGAAGTTGGAGGAAAAAAACAAACCAACATTTAAATCATCCATCTGGGATACTAATGAACTAGCATAAGTTTTACTACCAGAAACTTCTAAAGCATGTTGTATACTTGCTTTCCAACCATCTCCTGCCTCCAAAGGCAACAACTATAATGGCTTTTCATAAACAAAAGCAATTAAAGGGAAATTACTCCTGCTTTTACAGACATAGGATGAGGCTGCCCTCTGTCAGGTTTCACTAACATACTCAGGTTCATGTGGGCAGGGCTATGTCAGTTAGGTATATCTACCCCATCCTCCCATCCACCCCTGGGATGGGAACAGGACAAGTGTCTTCAAGGTACCCCAAATCGCAGAGAACCCTGGAAATAGCAAACCAATCCCAATTGTCAATTTGTCAGGACTGACAAAGTGATAATAAGAGCCAATCATTCAGTCCTTCATTCATCACTCTTCCTTGATACCCAGCAGTATCAGCAAAAATTTGTTTACCTCTCATTGGATCGTATCATGTAGTCAGTAAACTCATGGTCTCTCTTGATCACCTCCAAGGGGACCACAAGGTTGACATCAGAATCAGTGTTCCGTAGCTGGTTGAGTTTAATGTTCACTGAGAAGAGGTAATCCCGCACATCATCTATGCCCACCTTCAGGCCCTTGCACACCACATACCTGGCGGGAGACACTCTGTCATTCCACGAGGCAAAAGCTTCCTCCCCACACATACCTTTCCCCCAAACTCTTGTTGAGTCTTGAAACTAAACAGCTTCTCCATTCAGCCTTAAGTCTTTGTACAAAGAACAGCAAAGACTCTGTGTAGCAAAGTCCACCTCAAATCCTTCCTTTTTTATGTTGGGCTATATTTCTATTCTCTATGGTAGTGTTTCCCAATTGCCTTGTCCCAGGCTGGCTGTCTCATCATCACCTGAGGTGTTAAATTACAGATCTAATGAATCACTCTTCAGGACAGGGTCCAGAACTTTTTGTTTTTAATGAGCCACCTAGCAATTCTAATTGGCTGCATCTCCTTGCATCATACATGGCCATGTATCCCACCTGGGCTGCCGAGTGCCTCTGGCTGGTTTTCCCTTGCACTTTCACAGTCCATGTGCCTCCAAGTAGCCTTTCTATTGGTCACCTTCCCCCTCCTGGACCTAGTCAAGGATACCCCACATAAGCGTGAATAAGGCTTATGAAAGAGGTGGAGGCTGACAGGCACACTAGAGAACCAGTAAGATTCAAATCGTGACTCCTACTGACTCCAATCACTTATCTAAAGTCAAGTTTTTTTAAAGTAGCTTGAGAGGCAATGCCAGAGAGATGCACTAAGATCTGCGGTTCTGACATTCAGCCAACTAGTCTAATAAAAACAGAAGAAGGCCTCACCTCTCGGAGTTGGCAGGACGGCTGGTAATTGGCTTAAAAAGACATACACGTTCAAAACAGCAGTACAGCAGGTAGATGAGCCCCACACTGAATGGTGTGAAAAGGTCAAAGGTTTTACAGATGAAGTGGCCTCCTGCAGAGAGAAAACACCAACAGTAGTCAGTGGTTTCTATTCCAAGAGGAGGTTCCATTAGTCTTAGGGAGTAAACATGACACAATTCAAAGACCCTAAAATGTGGGTCCATGAAGTCAGAGGTAGTATAATTGGGAGACTCAGCTTTTGAGGGGACTCTGGGAATTCTATAGCATTTTTGCCCTAAATTCTTCATTTAGCCACCTGATACCTAATGTAAACAGATTTTTTTTTTTTTACTTCCAAATGAAGCCTGTACATACGCTTGTCCGGTAAGACCTCTAGTGGGTCCTGGAGTGGGGAAACAACTGAGGAAGTATCACCTGTCCGGACAACAGACAGCGCCATGAGGAATTGACAAAGGAGCAGCTGCTTGCTGAGAATTTCTTGCAAGTTCTCCTGCCCCTCCACTGAGAAACCCTAAAATGAGAACAGAAGGACTGGGGTGAGAAAGCAAAATGAGGACTGAAAAGAGCGTCCCTAGTTCATCTTCCTTGGGATTTCTTGAAATGTTTTTATTGATTTCTACCGTGTGAATTATAAAGATGCAGACGTGTATGTTTTAAATTATTTTATATTACTTTGGCATGGTTCTACAGCTCATTCTGGATGAAACTAGCACTAGAAAGTAGGCCTAACTACTAGATCAATGTCATTTTCTTGTTCTATCACTGCCATGATATAAAACCAAGTCTGTTTTTCCAAGGAGATGATCCAGAAAATTTTGAAACTCATATGGGAATCCAAGAGAAGAGGAAGGCAGAAAAGAAGCAAAATACTGACTAGTCATAGGCCAACTACAAAATATGAAATGGAAAAATGTGGTGAGTCCCACAAGACCCAGGGAGTACATATGCATGAATACTTTGCCTGGATTCACTTGGCCACTGTAATGACCACTGAACAGGGTCCCATCTAGTGACAGGAGAAAAGTTAGTACAACTCTGACAGTCACAATAATCTCTTTTTCTCTGCTGACAAAGGATTTACTCACAAAACCCACCTTTCTGTCCTAAACTCATGGATCTTCTTCCTCCAGCTGGTGGACAATTTGGCCAGGGTTTCTGTTCAAAGAATGCCCATTGCTATTGCTGGAGTAATCCCTCCCTGAGATCCCAGCAAAATGCAAAGAGCCAAGCTCATATAAAAGAAAAAGGTTAGGGATTGGACAAAGGACAAAAGGGAATTGTTTAATGGGTACAGATTTCAATTTTGCAAAATGAAAAAGGACTGGAGATCTTTTGTGAATATATTTAACACTACTGAACTGTACACTTAAAAATAATTGAGATGGTGAATTTTATGTGTTTTTTAATCACAACAATTGAAATAAAAAGTAAAGGAGATTGGCCTTCATTAATCTGCTCCAGTCAGAATAGGTTACCCAAACACAGTCCTATTAAAGCAAAAGGTAAATGATTAAAAACCAAAAATGTTTAACAATGTCTTCAAGATTTATAGATGCTTCTCAAAATGTATGCCAGTTTATAGGGTCAATTGAAAAAAAGAGAAAAAGTGAAAAAAAAAAAAAAAAAAAAGATCAAACCATGCCACCAGCCTCCAATGCCTAGGCAGAAAGACAATCCTTGAGTGTGCAACTCTAGCCACCGTAATGCAATGGTTGCCCCCCATATCTGCTACTCTCTCCTCTCCAAGTTTATCTATCCATTTTGCACAATACTTGGTGAGACAGGGCATCTTCATATCCCTGCTGACACCCTACATACTGCTTCATCTTTCCACATGACTACTGCTTGAGTGGCCACCCATGGAACCCCCAGAGGCTTTTCTCAACTCTAGTCATATGACCCTGCAGCAACTGCCACAATCTCTGTCCCTCCTAAATGGCTCACTCCAAAAAAGATTACCTGGCATTAGATTACTGGGAGAGAAAGTTGAATGGGACTCTATATTGCCCAAGGACAGGGCTGCTTAAATATTCACTTCAGCCTAGCCACTGACAGGCTCCTGTTGATTCCCTGAGCCACTGCCTTTGACGATGTGGTCATCTGCAGCCTATTCAGGGGTTTAGGAGTAGTGACATATAGACAGCTTCTGCCAGGAGCAGTACCCAGGGGACAAATGATGGAAATGCTTTTGCTGGTCAGCAGTATCTAGTTTATTTTAGTCATGGTACTCCCATCAGTGTCTCACAGCCAACAAAGGCATCTTTGAAAAAGTGTGAGGGAAAGTTCACTTGCTCCAAGCGAAGTTATTCCCAACACAGCCTATACCAAGTAATCACTGAAATGTGTATATGAAGAATAAAAACATACATCCGTTACTATCTGAACAGTAGGGGCAGCTAAAGAACCAAATCAAACAAAAGCAATTTAAAAGCCTCTGACGTAATAAATCCTTTATGCATTACCCTTTGGAGACAGCAAATCACCTACCCCATCGGCCATGAGAAAGTGAACACCCTTGCGGTCTGTGTTATCCAGCACAAAATTCCGAAAAGCAGTGATGTTCTCCGGGCGGGTGATATCTCCATCTCCATCAATCCCACCCTCACCTGGCAAGACACATGATTTACAGTAAGCTCATGTGCTATGCGCATCGCAAGAGCTGGGATCCCACATCAGCTCTCTGGAACAGTACACACAGGTAGTATTCATTTGTGGGCCTTGAATCTCAGGAGAAAGTCCCTGTGAGGAGCAACTCATGACAGGACTTGTTTGGCAAGGTTGCCGTGCAGTGATGAACCAAGAGGCAAAAAAATAGGGTCCTGCAATAATAAACCAGAATCCAAAGGAGTTGATCAGCCAAGAGTCATCACTGAAACAGAGGGCCTTAAGACCGAAGTTGTGCTGAAGCACCTACATTTAGGAACCAAAGTGAATTTTTTATAAGAACTATTAAGAAAGGACTTTGGATTTGCTGCCAATCATAACAGTTGAGACAGTGAACTGCTAGGTTCAGGGTTGGAGACAGGCATGAGGTTTGTATTTGTTAATAACCCTGCTAGTCCTCAGCTGGAGACTAGGCAGTTTCATTAACTCCTGTCACCAGAAGAGAAGGAAGCCCTAATATGGCTTTGATGAGAGTCTGCCTATCCTGCAGGCCTGGAGTAAAAGGACAATCTAGAGGGAAGCAAGACCTTCAGGACATGGGCTGAGAATTCCAGACTGAGAGACCTAGGAAAGAAAAGACGCAAATGGATAACTGCTTCTGACCTAAAATCCCCACAGAGGACTATCCCTGAGACTCCCTAGTACCCTCCTTTCCTCAGTATCCCTACCATAGTAGGGCTCGAAGAGCTCACTGGAGGCCGAGTAGAAGTCCTCCAATTTGAAGTCATTAGGGCCCTTCAGAGTCATTCCAAAGCCCTTGGCATGCCACTTCTTCCTCCACAGCACATACTCCGAGAAGCCACCTGGGCCTGCGCAGACATCAGCAAAGTACAGAAGTTCAGCTTCCCGGTCCTTCACCAATGGTTTCTGCAAAGGCAAATGGAGAACAGGGGAGGAAGGGGAAAAAGGATGGCTCAGTAGTGAATACAAAGGAGAATGCAGGGGGAGTAAAATAAACCTTTCAGCAAGCACTATACAGAGCTCCCACCAGGGCCGAAACATCCAGGAAATAAATGCATCCTCTGTGATCAGCAATTTCGGAAGCTGCCCATCCCCACCTCAAAATTCTTGATGCTTTTCACAGCACAAACCTAGCTCAGACTCCTAATAAAAACATCTTAAATGAGCATCAATGTGCGTTTCTCAGCCTTTTCCTCACTATAGCCTACCTTACAAGAGACCTCCTGAATAGAACAGATCTGGTATCTCTGACATTGCAGGAAGGGAAAAAGACACTAAGACACAAAGTGGCCTGTTCACAGCCAACCTGTCACAAAGCTAAATCAAATTCCAATCAGTCTGTCCTCTAGACTCAGATCTTCCTGTCCAACCAAATCTGGGAACTCTAATATCACTCTCTCCTGGTGAGGTCCTACCTTTCCAGACTATAGCTTCTGCTTCCCTTCTCTTCCTCCTTGGCATTTTTTTTCTAATTAACTTTTAATATTGGACTAATTTTAGATTTACAGAAAAATTGCCAAGACAGAGTTCTAGCATACCCTTGACCAATCTTCCAGTTTTGTTACCATCTTACAAACACCTTGCCATGGTGCATCTGTCAAGACTAAGAAACCAACATTACTGTACCACTATTAACTAAACCCCAGGTTGATGTAGATTTCCCTAAAGTCCTTGTTCTGTTTTGTTCCATGATCCAGAGACATTGCATTTAGTCTCTTCCCTTTTTGCACTCCACTCTTCCTCTTCCTGCCTTTCCTAGCAGGTGCCTGGGGTAGCACACAGCTGTGAGCTGGCAATGCAGAGAAGGAAGGAGATACTCGTGTGCAGCTTCCAGGCAGCCTTCAGAGGACCCACGCACATCAGTAATAACTAAATTACAGTCATCATTTGGATTTTCATTGGACTATATTTTGACCACTCGAGTGGCTTTAACTCTTAATCTAAAATTCATGCTGAAATTAGCCCTAGCCAATATTCTGTGTTTACATCTCACTTTTACACAGTTGAACCTAGACAGTGAATTCTCCTTGTCTTGACCCTCAGTGACAGGGAGGATGTACCACAGGCACTGGTTGACAACAGGAGGTTGAGTGGATGACTGCAGAAGACCCTAGCAAACATCCAGTAGGAAATGGATTAGACAACTCAGCCTTCCCTCTCTACAGGTTTGGCATGGCTGACTGCTAGTCCAGAGTTCCATAACTTTTAGAAAAGATCAGAAAACTTTAGGAGAAACAAAAGAAAAAAAATGGAAATATCAGTGTTCATTTTTCAGGTGACAAGGACCTTGTCTCTCATGATAGCTCTATCAAAACAGTCTCTAGACAAAGTGATTCCACTAAAAATAAACTCCATCATCCTATTACAAGCCCACCCAGGCATGCTGGGATATATATCATCCTTTCTCCCCTTCCCCAACACTCCACCCTAGCACTCTTTGTTCCTCAGCCATCAATTATTCATATTTTTGGATTATATTCATTTGCGCACACACACATACACACACACACACACACACACACGTCCTAATAGCATTTGCCAAGAACATTATATAGCACTTTTGAGGCAGCACAGCGGTAATGAGGCAGGGGTCACAAGTTTAAGACCTGCACGCACTGGAAAAAGAAGAAACAATGCTCTTCAATGCCAGCAAGGCCCTAGGCCCAGGCTACCTCTCTGGGTGAACCACTGACTGAAAGGAAAACTGGAGGAATGAAGGGGGGTGAAATTAATGAAAGCATCTCACCTCCCAAAAAAGGGCGCAAAAATGATCCCATACTGTGACTTCAAGACATGGCCAGGAGGTCTTTACAGACAGGACAACTGGGGTTCTCACCTCTGCCATTTACTGGCCATGCAGTCAAGGGCAAACACACAATTTACATCTCTAAGTTTGAGCTTCCTCGACTGTAAATTGGGGCTAATGTAGGTTATCTCTTAAGGCTGTTGTAGGATTAAATAAAGTACCACATGTCAAAGAACTTTAAAAACTCTAAAATACTAAACAAATGTAAGATGATATTATATTCAACTAGATCATTTTCCTTGGGGTCAAACTCTTGTTCTTTTCTATTTCCAATGCCTTAGTATAATAGTCTACATTCGGTGGGCTGTTTAATTTTCTCTGAGACAGGATTGAAACTTAAGACCTACATTCAGTTTTTGTCTCCTGTTAACTTCATAGATGATGTTTTCTTACCTCAACAATATCCCCAGGTACACAAATCCTTCGTGTGATGTAATGTCCTTCTATATACCCAGAGAATCTAAATTCCCTTCCTTGCTTTGTTTCTTCCAATTCTTGTTTGCAATTCTTTATCTCCCTGCCCTAGACCCTTTTCTCCTTTTTCCATGATCTGCAGAATAGGAAATTTGTTTAATATAAACAACCTCAGTCTCCCCACCCGTCACTTCCCAACCTCACCACAATGCCCAAGTTCAAGTTCTCCATGCTCTTATTCTAGAATCTGCCTGACGCAAGAGCCACTGCAACCCTAGCAAAGTATGTTTTCAGGCCTTCAACCACTCCCATTGCTGCTGAGGACTGCTCAAGAGTATATCTGCTTGCCTGAAAAACACACCAAGCCTGCTAGGCTTGGCTGTCACTCTGGTCCTTGGGGGAAAACAGAGATGAAAAGAGAGAGGAAAACACTAGGGGCTGAAGAGAAATCACTTTTTATAGTGGAGTACAGAGAAACATCTCTGAAAGGGCAATTCTCCATGGCCACTAACAATCAATTCAGGTCAAGAAGCTGCCTGGAGCACTGCAGACACAACTGCCTTTTCCTATGTAACTAACATCTCTACCCTCAACCTGAATGGTACAACCCTGGTGCTTACTTCATTTTCATGACAGCAAAAGACAATAACCAGATACCAGCTGCTAGAAGCATTTACATTCAAAAGCCCAAAATGACGCAGTGACTTCCAATCAGCTTAACAGAGCTCCTCTGCCAGGCAGGGGTTTAAAGGAAATCATTTGCAGCTCAGAAAATTAAATCAACATTATTATCAACCTAATTTTCTCAAGATGCTAATTCCAAGAGTCCTTTTGTGCTGCCTGCTGGTATTGGAAAATGGGGAGGGAGATCTAGGAGAGAGAAATGACTAAAGGCTGGAGGGATCTACGTGGCAGTTTTGCCAGCATGGAGGAGTAGGCAGGTAGAGCTGAAACATTAAAGTACTTGGAAAATAAGTTTCTTTAGCCAGCAGATAATCAGGGGGCCTAGTGGAAGGAGGGTGAGTGAAACAGAAACAGCTGGATCCTGGCCTCTTCACTGTCAAAAAAGAACTAACTTTCTAAGACTGGGTAAAAATGCTTTGAAACTCTGAAGGGAATTCTAGAATGAAATTCCTTTTTTCTTTCTCTATCATTATTGAGGGTCGGTGTTCAGAGAAATAAGATATAGTAGAGTAGAAAATCATTTTGCTCTACCACTTCCTGAGAAGGTCCAAAGTCTGATAATTATTATCCCACACAAAGCTTTTTCAGAGAGGCAGAAGGCCACATCTGAAATCATAGATCTTAGAGCTAGAATGGGTCTTAAAGTCTTTTGGCCTTACCTCTTGCCCTCTGGCAAGTCAGTAGGGTTAATTTCAGAGATGTGATAGCTGAGGCCCAAAGCTATGAACTTCAGTGACACCACCTGTGAGATGTAAGTGCTGCATTCCCTGCTCCCCACCCCACCAGCCCCTGAGGAACAACACAGCCTATATTTTCAGACACGATACTGATTTTTTTTTAAATAATTTTTTTTTAAGATTTATTTATTTTTATACAAGAGGTGGGGTACAGGCCAGAGGCACAGGAGAGTGAGAGGATTCACTGGAGACAGAGCAGGGAGCAGAACAGGCAGATAACCGAAACACACTGCTGAGGGAAGCAGAGGGCAAGACAGGAGAGGTCTGCTGGGCCATGTATGTTATCTCCCTGGCCGGCCGGGAGAATCGAACCCATGCTGCAGAGGCTGTGGACAGCTTCACAGCGCTGCACTCAATCTGCTGTGCCACCAGGGAAACCCCACAATACTGATTTTAAATAGACTGGGGAACACACCCAGATGACCACATTTCATTCAACACTCAAACCATGTTTCTCAGCGCACTCCCTCTCAAGTCAGAAACAGCACCCAACACATCGGATGATGTCACAAGTTTCAATTAGAAAAATAAGCTCATTGTAAGGATACACACTCTCCTTATACTCTACCTCATCCATGCTAGGAAAAGAAGCAGGCTAAAGTTCTCTGATAGCAACTATCCTCTGCTCACCAATAAGCACAAAAAGGTTTTTCAAATATCCCAACACTGCACCTTTAAAAGCTTTTAAGTCCACCAGGATGTGGAGAATCTAAGTGCTATGGAGGCAAGGATCACAACTAATTCAAAATTATAGGCCTGATACAAAGTAGGGGCTAAATATATGTTCAATGACCGCAGGAACAGAGCCCATGCTCTAGCTCATGGCCTCACCTCCCATTCATGCCATGACTGTGGATTTTCTCCAACAATGTCCTTTTGATACTGCTGCAACCCTGGCCCATCTCCACATGGAGTGAGTAGCAGGAATTGCAGAATTAGGGGCTGGGACTCTGGGCCTGGAGCTCGAGAGACAAATGTTTATAGGGGCACTGTGGAACCCCATGTGAGGTACTCAAAGCAAAATATCTCTATCACATGGCAGGAATACTCTATTAGCATTGCAAAAATGGTGATTCAGAAACAGAATCTTGTCCTCACCCCGGAAGAGTCCTTCGGATTTGTAAACATTCGATCAAACACAAAATCCATGTTAGCCATCTTCATTGCCGCCCTGCAAAAATCAAAACAAAAAATCATGACTCAGTTCCAGACATGTGGAAAGCTCAGACTCAAATGAAAAGGAACTCTGCATGTTGGGGAAGAGAGAAAATTGTCAGCAAACCTGTTTAAGAAGAAGACTCCTCGGATCATCTCATAGGGATTGGCCCGGGTCCGAGCCCGCCGCATCTCCTCCCCATCCAGGACATCAAATACACTCTGCACAGAGAGAATGAGAACCTCGAGGTGATTATCACTCCAGGCCCTCCTGGACAGACAGGAGTTTTAAAGGTTGCAGGACCTGATTCACAGTCTTCAAAATGGCTAGGCTCCTGCCATCTCCTAGTCCTAAAATAATTAGTTGCGTGACCCTAGACAAGTTGCTCAAACACTGTCCCTCAACTACCTCACATGTAAAACGGAAGAAAATAAGACTTGAGCATGCCCCTGTCACACAGCAAAGGGTGAATGTTGTTATACACAGAGCCACTTGTTGCCACTGCTCGTGCTCACAGTGGATGTTTCTCCATTCCACACCAGCAACACCCTTTCAAGGGACTAGAGGTCTGGCATTAAGACTCACTCGACTGGGGCTTACTCAGTGAGAGGGAAACAACCCAAGACCAGGATTTTCTGATGGCAAGTATACATTGCAGAGATTCCTTCTCCCTTTTTTAGTTTCATCTCTGAAAAAAGAAAGCCTCATTTCACCCGAGTTGATCTTAAAGATATTTCCAACCCTCTGTGAGCCAGAAAAAAAACTCTGAGAAGCTGGTCTGAGCTTTTACTACTTCGTCAACCCATCTCCTCCTCAGCATCTCCCTGGCTCATTCTGCCCCAAGCAATATACTTCCTGACACAAACTATAACAAAAGAAATTAAGGAGAGCCTAACATGCACCCAGTGTGTTAAGCACTCCACATCCACTATTTCATTTAATTCTTACAACAATGTTAGGAAATATTTTCTCTCCGCTTTATAGATGAGAAAACTCAAACACATGAAGTTAAAATGGCTGAACCAAGGTCACAGAGCAAAAAAGTTGCATGCGTAGGATTTGATTTCAGGACTATCTGATGCTAAAGAAGGATTCCAAATCTTTCACTACACCAGGCCCCCTAGGATTACAATGAACTAACCACTGAGGGTAAGTGGGTCCTTTCCTGGCACTCACAGGGACAGCACATTACAAGGCAGGGCAGTCACCAGGAAAAAGGACCGCCTAGAGAGATGTACCAAGTTACACATCTGAGCTCCAGGAAAAATCTTAGTGAAGCTCTGCCATCCACAGCTAACTCAAAAGAACTGAAGAAGCCCAGCACAGTTCCTACAGATTTTCAACTCCAGCTTTAGCTGCAAGAAGGACTTACCTTACACTGCAACATACTGTGAAGAAGCTCTTCCCCACAAAACTCCGTTTCATCTTCAATAATCATCTTTCTCTGTAAGAAGAAAACAATCAATAATGACCGTGTGTGACTGCATTTGGAAGGATGAACAGGAAAACTAGGGTTCCAAGTGAGTGGAGCAAGAAGGGACTTGAGTCCATGCCAAGGAACATCAATACCTGAGGGGCAAGAAAGAAAATCTTAAATCCCTCTGGCTATCCTCCAGATGGCTGTGAGATGAAGCAGCCCCCTGGGTGCTCTGACTAGCATGCCATATGGATACAAGACTCATGAATGCTGAGGCTGAGAAAAGCAAACAGGAAGGAGACATTCAAGCTGTCTGGCTCTACAGTGCGGAGGCAGGATGGCAACTGCCCTTCAACCAGGAAGCGTCTCACTGTGTGATAAGTATGAATGCACAACACCAGGCACTGACCTGGTAGTGTGGTAGAAAACAAGGGCTTGAGGGAGCCTCATGGGAATGTCAAGTCCACCCTATATCTTAGGGAAGAGACCTCTAAGTCAGCAATTCTCAATTTGATATTCTCAGGCTGTGTGCTGTTCAAAATCACTGAGGACCCCAACGGGCTTTTGTTTATGTAGAGTGTGTGTGTTTCCTACTAAAAAGTAAAACTGAGAAAAGTTTAAAATATTAACAAAAATCAGTTAATATAACACATCTTTTTTTTTTATAAATTTTATTTTTATATTCCCCATACAATTGCACTCCCCTTATTCTGATCCCAACCCCTCCCCTCCCCACCCCCATCCCCCGTAGAGTGTCTCTGGTTCATAGTTTTTTGTTGATTTTTATTTTCACTTTCTTATAGTTATTCTTCTTCCTGGTCCCTTATTTAAGTTTTCTAGATTCCTGCTATGAGTGAGACCATCCGGTATTTTCCTTTTTCTTTCTGGCTTATTTCGCTGAGCATGATCCCTTCCAGCACCATCCATGTTGCTGCAAATTGCATGTGTTTATCTTTTTTGAATGCTGAGTAATATTCCATGGTGTATAATATAACACATCTTTATGAAATATAACTACACTTCAAAAATATTTAGTGAAAAGAGAGGTATTGTTTTCCATTCTTGCAAATCTCTTAATGTCTGATTTAATAGAAAACAGCTAGATTCTCTTCTCTCCACATATACAAGCAATAGATTGTATTATCACATGTCATAGCCTCTGGAAAACACTGGACACTTACGAAAGAGTAACAGTGAAAATGGCAAATAACTTTTCAGTATCATTATGAAAATAGCTTTGACCTAGTAGAGTCCCTTAAAGGGTTTTAGAGATTCCCAGGGGCCTCTATACTTTGAGAACTGTTTTCTAGACCATATTGATTTGGCAGTCATCTACTTTATTCTTAACAATTTTCCAGAAGGATATTAAACAAATTCCCTCTGTAACGACTTCCTCATTACTTTCTGAAGACAGGGGACAGAGTTTTTTCATCTACCTGGAACAGTGCCCAGCAATGACCAGAATATACACAGATGCCTAATAAGCTACTCTAAAAGCATCTAAAAAGTATGGGAAGACAAGCACATCCATAAAAAGGTAGAAGTTATGCATTTTATGCTGCCTCGCAAGTTAAATGGCTAGGAGGGGGAAAAAAACCTTTTGACACACCTCCCAAGAGGATTAACTGTAAAGCCATTAGTATACCCTCTTGGCACAGATTTATTCCTGCCAGAGTAGTCAGATTCACATTTTTCTTAAATTGTGAGTATACATAATACATACCAGACTTGAGGAGGAGAAAAGTTAAAAGATAAATGCCAAGAATTCAGGTTATATTATCTGAAACCCTACCTTTCCCACAACCATCCAATTGCTCATTTCCTGAATATCGAGTATTTCCGTAGTACATTCTGGAAACCATGACACCTGCTCACAAGCACTGGGCTACAACCAAAAGAGAGGCAAATAAATCAGAGAAGTCAGACCCACAGAGTTATGTCCCAACTCACCAAAACTTCCCCCTAAAGCAAGAAGGATTCAGAGAGAATAAGAAGGACCCAGAAAGTTGAAGCCAAATGCAGCCATCAAACATGAGAACAGGGCCTCCCCGTGGCGCAGCGGTTGAGCACTGGGTTGCGAAGCTGCCCGCTGCCTCTGCAGCGCCGGTTCGATCCCCGGCTGCTCCCTGACCACCAGAGGAGGGTCCCGCATGGCGCGCAGACCTCTCCTGCCGCCCGCTGCTCCCCTCAGCAGTGAACTTCTGTCCTTCTGCCTGCTCTGCTCCCCGCTCTGGCTCTGGTGAATTCTCTCACCCTCCCGCACTTCTGACTGTACCCAGTACTTGTATAAATCAATTAATCAATCAACCTTGTATAAATAAATAAAATCTTAAAAAAAAAAAAAAACAAACATGAGAACAGAAAGCCAAAATTCTAAAGTTTAAGTTCTGAAAGCTGCTCAATTCTGGTTTGAATCCTTAGAAACTTTCAAAACCATAAGGTTTCTTTCACTGGCTCCAATATCTGATGAAGCCTACTATAGATTAAGTGCTCAGAGAGCAGACTGATAAAGAAATGACCCTTGATCCAAAGGGCCTGTAACAAGAGCACACATACAGACATAGGATACAGATATATGATAAGGTAATTACATCAGACTTTTTTTTTTTTTAAAGATTTATTTATTTATCCATACAAGAACCAGGGTGAAGGCCAGAAGAGTGGAGGGGGTGAGAGGATTCACTAGAGACAGAGTGGGGAGCAGAACAGGTGAATCTACTGAAATAAATGTATTTTATTAATGCTGAGGGGAGCAGCATTGAGACAGGAGAGGTCTGCTGCACCATATGGATTAGTGCCCTGGCCAGGGATCGAACTCATGTTGCAGTGGCTGGTGATAGCTTGATAGCACTGTGTCTTTAACCGCTGTGCCACCAGGGAGGCCCTCCTCTTAATTCTTCAATCATTTTCCTCAGCAAACTAAAACAGTGATTTTCATCTAAGCTATTTATTATGATCTCTAGCCCTTTTAAAAAGCATTGATGCCTGACCTGCCATCAGTGACTAGGAAGGACTGTGTTGGTCTCAGATGGGGACTGGCGATAAGTATGTTTTTAGTCCCTGGATGTTTCTACTGTGCAGCCAGGGCTGGGTTCACTGGGCTAGAGAGAGAGAGATGATAAAACTTAAAGGTGGCTGATCTGCATGGCTGCTTTCCACACTGCAAGCATGGAGATCCACCATTGCAAATTGAAGTAATGTGATTAAAGGTAATATTACATGCTCTGAAAGGCATACAATGGTATCACAATGCAAGGTCTTGAGGGCAAGCCAAATACCATCAACACAGAAAAAGTTTAAAAGAAAAATTACTGAAGTCTTTTATCAAGGAATCTGGCAGTGAATCATGCTTTCTCCTCTGGTCTAATCCATCACCTTTAAGCATAAATGGTTATAAAGGAGTATACACTTTGGATACTCCTTGAGAGAGAAAAAGAAGGCTCAATCTCCCACAGAAATCCAAACATTAAGGCTCCCTACAAAGTGGACTTTGCAAAAGGGTAAAGCCACCAAATTCATCTACCCTAAGGAGTGGCTACCAACTCTTAACCAAAAGATAGGGCCTTTTTGGTATGAGAAAAAGTGAATTATGGTAAAAAATAAAAATTGAGGATAGTTTTACCCCCAAAATGACTAATCTGTCTCATTTAAAAAACAGATTTTACAGCCTCCCCAGTGGCGCAGTGGTTGAGTGCTGGGTTGCGAAGCTGCCCGCGGCCTCTGCAGCGCCGGTTCGATCCCCAGCTGCTCCCCAGCCACTGGAGGAGGGTCCCGCATGGAGTGCAGACCTCTCCTGCCGCCCGCTGCTCCCCTTAGCAGTGTACTTCGGTCAATGTGCCTGCTCTGCTCCCTGCTCTGGTGAATTCTCTCACCCTACCGCGCTTCTGACTGTACCCAGTGCTTATATAAATAAATAAACAAATCTTTAAAAAAAAAAAAAAAAGAATTAAAAAAAATAAAAAATAAAAAACAGATTTTATAGGCAAATTTCTGATTTCTAGTTTAGCAAAAGTAGTTCTAATTGGGCCTCCCTGGTGGCGCAAGGGGTTAAGTCGCAGCACTATGAAGCTATCTGCAGCCACTGCAGCATGAATTCAATCCCTGGCCAGGGCACTAACCCACATGACGCAGCAGACCTCTCCTGTCTCAATGCTGCTCCCCTCAGCAGTGTATTTCAGTCAATCTGCCTGTTCTGTTCCCCAATCTGTCTTTGGTGAATCCTCTCTCTCCACCCACCCCCCACCTCGTACCTCTGGCCTGTACCCAGTTCTTATATGCATAAACAAATAATTTTTTTTTTTAAAAAGTAGTTCTAATTCTGTCCCACTGTGCAGATCAGGAGATCAGGATTCCTGTTTTCACAACAATGAGGGCATGGAAAAGCACCAAGCATTTCTGAGGTGAAAATCTACACCAAGCATCCCCAGAACCCATTAGCTTCTGCCATGTCAGCATCTTACTCTGAAGGCTCCCTACAAAGTGGACTTTGCAAAAGGGGTAAATCCTGCATTTCCTGGACTATAGTAGCCATTAGCCTTTTATCATGTGCAGGTTAACAGTTCTTTCCTGAACTGGAATGTCAGGAGGATAAATAAAATATCAATTTTCCAGAGTTCAGAGCGACATCTAAAGTTCAACTATAGCAACTATATAGAAGAAGGCCAGACATTTGTGTTCTATTTTTTCTAGTTTCAACCCTGTAATGGTAATATTTCACCATTATTTTTAAGTGCTTTTAATAAACCCACTTCAAATTATTTGTGGAATAAGGTAGGACATAAATATAAATAAATAAATAAATAAATAATCTCAACATATGCCATGAAATGGGATGGGTCTCTCAGGGGTAAAACAAACTGGTACCTAAGCAGGTAAGTGCTAAATCCACAAAAGAAAACCTCTATGGCATAAACACATATTTAGAGGCATATCATAAACCTGTGGAAGTGCAAAGACCTTAAAAGGTACCTAATCCAATCACCCACACCAAGGGAGAGTGAGTCCTCAGTTGGCCCATATGACTCCTTTCAGCAGATGGAATTCACTACTACCTCATGAGGTATCTTAGTTACTAGTAGAAACTAGTAGAAAGCTGTATCTATTAAAGTTCTTCCTAAAACCAAACTCTGCCTTCCAGCATCTTCTACCCACTGGTCTTAGACATATATGAAGCAACAAGAAACAAATCCACATCCTATCATCCTATCATCTCTCCCCCAGTCTTCTGTTTTCCATTCTGGACATCATCCCCAGTACATTCCATGTAAGGCACTAGTCTTAATCCCTACTAACTACCTTGATCATACAGCCTCTAGAAGGGCATTTGTTTATATTGCTACTTAAAGTCATGCATCCAAAACACAGCGGCTTTCCCATCTCCTCCTTCCCACACAAGTTACCTCAGGTTCATCTCGCCAGTCCACATTCAGTTCTTGGTCAAAACCTTGCAGTGTCAGACCCAGGCCTCTGCGACCTTTCTGACTAGAGGCCTCAACGATGTCCTTCCGACCCTGGCTGTATTTACCCAACCCTTCACCTTCCCTGAAGCCCATCTTGGCCTGAAAAAGAGAAATAAAGAAGTGTTACATAAATAAATGCATCTATTTAGTACTATCATGTACCAGGTGTGCTAAACCCTCAGAAATATAGATAAGGCTGAAAGCTTTCCTTCTATCTTAATGAAGAAAAGCAACATAAATAACTATAATTTAACTGTGGGCCCAGTGGCAATCTGTTCTGAAGATGAAAGACTATGACAGGGCCTCCCCGGTGGCGCAGCGGTTGAGCGCTGGGTTGCGAAGCTGCCCGCAGCCTCTGCGGCGCCGGTTCAATCCCCGGCTGCTCCCCGGCCACCGGAGGAGGGTCCCACATGGCGCGCAGACCTCTCCTGCCGCCCGCTGCTCCCCTCAGCAGTGTACTTCGGTCCTTCTGCCTGCCTGCTCTGCTCCCCACTCTGGCTCTGGTGAATTCTCTCACCCTCCCGCGCTTCTGACTGTACCCAGTGCATGTATAAACAAAAAACAAAAAACAAACAAATAAATAAATAAATAAACAAAAATGCCTCTAAAAAAAAAAAAAAAAAAAAAAAGAAAGACTATGACAACCAGAAGTTGGATAAATGAGAAGGGACCTCAAAACTCTAATTAAAACCACCAATAATAGCTAATGGATCTGAGTGGACATCTGTATAACTATGCTTCCAGATAATTTGTCTGATTAAGTGAGAAGTAGATCTGGGAACAGAATTGAGAGAAAGAATTTAATTTAAAATGGAACCACTTCAGATGGCAACTTGTACCTTGCCCACAGTTAGTCAAATAGTCTTACCAAATAAGAACAATAAGTGCTTGCAGGAGCCCACTTAATCAAGATATTAACTGAAAAATCACTTCATGTAAAACTGAAGTATGGGAAGTACTATAAGATCCTAGACAGAAACAGTTTTTAAGATGCCACAACTATCTATAAGTTCACATTGGGTTGCTTACCCCCAAAATCAAAGACTTGAATCCCAAAATACCACAGACCCTTGTCTAGTAAAAGAGCTCCAATCCTAAATCCTTCCCCCCAGGTCTAAGACGTTGAATGAGTGACAAACTTCATCTTCTACTTTCCTAAACTTTGTGCCCCCCAAACCAGAATTCTGACTGTGATTTCAAAAGTGGTAGATTGTTCTTCACTGAGCCCAACAGAAAATGGAGAAGATTCCTGAAGCTAGACAGAAGGCAAACTTGGGTTTCCTTAATCTTTGCACATACACTAAGTTTGATGAGGAAAATGAACAGATCTTTCTATTCACCTCCCTTCTTGTGGTGTATGAACAGAATATGGAGGTTAAGAAGGAGAACTGGGTCTTCTTGTGGAAGTAATACAAAAGGCTGTACTATTCCCATTTATTTTAGGCACCTGGGAATGAGCAGAACTTTAGTCAATTCTTTTGAGATCACTTACTAGAGCAGAAATTCACAGCATGAAGTGTTTACTCACTGACACACATCCATGTTTAGGGAAATATGTTCACATGTGCTCATAATAAGAATGTATTACTAAGGTGAATAAAGGGTGATTCAGCTCTAGACAGAACAGAGAGAGACCTGAACAACCACTTCAACTGGATGATTCAAACGTGACAGATACTTCTATTGAGAAAGTGGCCATACTCTACTAAAGTTCAGTAGCTGGAAAGCAGAGGAAAAACTCATGTCCTTGATTTTCTTCTTTTCATAACAAAGCAGTTTCCCTTCTCTTGTTCTGCTGGTGGAACTTTAGACACCCAACCCAAGTGCTGGCATACCATAAGCTTCTGGGAGACACTATTATACATGGAATAGCGAGAAGATGTTCCCTCCACAAGGGAGTCTGCTTTGAAGGCATCATCGAAAGAGTTAGAGCTGCGTTGCTTCCCTTCGGTCTCACTGTCAGACCCACTCAGGCTTGTGGTAGATGCTGGAGGAGGAGAAAGGAAAAGTTTAGGAGAATTAATGGCACAAAATAGCTTCTAGAAGTCCAAGTTTCATTTTTCAACTAACTTTAGCACGTCATAGCATAAAGTCCATGAAATGACCCAGTGTCAAAAATATTTCCTACTTCTTACTAAATCGTGGGTAAATCACTGAAAGTTCCTAATGGTACCAAACACACAACGGGAGCTCAAAATATCAGTTTTCCTTTCCCATCCATTCAATTGCTTCTCCTATAAAATTGGAATGGTAATACCTACCTCACTGGGCTGTCTGACGATTAAATGAAATAATATATTTGAAAGTACACCATCAAATATAAAATGCACTTATGAAGAAATCATTGTTATTGCTGCTATTGCTGCTTAGTGACTATCAATTTCCAAACACTGATGCCTGGATCCATTTTCAATAATTCTACATCACAGTGACAGCTTCTGATTGTTTAATTTCCCAGTTTCCTCTGTTTTTCAGTCTTCTGATCTTGTAAGCAGAGGGCAAGTCTATAATCTGCTTCTCACAGGAAGAGAAGTAGGTAAGGAGAAAGGAAGGGGGGGGAGAAGGAAAGAAAAACAGGGAAGACAAGGAAAGAGAGGAAGGACAGGGAAGAGGGAAGGCACTCAGGCAGCAGCACCAACTGAGGTGGAGAGTAAATGAACTAATCTGACGCTCCAGGAGGGAGTTGATGGCCAGACTGAGCTATTTCTTATAACTACAAAAAAGACTTTCTGGAAGGAAAGATACACAAGATCAATAAAAGTGATTATCCACACATGCAGGTGTTGAAACTTAGAGACAGCATACCGAAATGACTTCCTGGAACAAATGAAAGGTGATTTAGATTTCTGTATTACTAGAATTGATACTGGTGATCTCTTTATATTTTTTGATTTATCAATCATGTAAATATGTTATCTATTAAATTTAAAATAAACAAGAGGGCCTCCCCTAGTGGCGCAGCGGTTGAGCGCTGGGCTGCAAGGCTGCCCGCAGCCTCTGCAGCGCCGGTTCATTCCCCGGCCGCCAGCGAGGGTCCCACAAAAAATAAATAAAATAAAATAAACAAGAAAAAAATAACTGACTTAGTAATGTGGTCCAATCCTTTTAAGGAAAAAAGAAGTGGCAGCTCTGGTCCCACCATGTCTATGCAGGTATCTCCTTTAACAAACTTTTCCCTTTCAAAAGCAGCAGCAGCAGCTCTCTGACCACCTGTGTGTATGAAGATCCCTCTTTGTCCCAATAAATCAGTCCCTTTAAAATGCAAAAAAGGAAAAAAGAAGTCCCTGAGAAGAGGTGTTGAGTCAAAGCTTGGCTACTTGTGGGAGGTGCTGAAGAAAGGCACAGAGGGCAATCAAGCAAAATAATTCTTTCTATGCCCAAGATGGTCCCTATTCAGGTATTCGTAACTTGACAATTACATCTAACTCTAAAGGATTACATGTCATAATACGATTACATGTCATAATTCTTAAATCTGTACTGTTCCTAGAAGGATCCAAACTAAGTGTCGACATTGCAGAAAAGCAGTCTTCCCCAGCACCCCAAGCCTAATTTGCCCCTCCACTGTGCACCAGCACTCACACCACAGGCATAGCACTCATCACGGTGCCTGAGAGCCAGGTATCATCACACACAACTCCACCAGGCAGGCTCTCCTGAAGAACTGTGTCAAGTCAACTGTCTATCTCCAACACCTGGACTGGGCTTTCCAGAAATTAATTGAACAGAAATTATTTTAGAGCTTAATGAACTGCTATTCAGTTTCATCTCTGCTAAGCACCTACAGAGTGCACAGCTTCTTAAGATACTTCCTCTGACAACACCTCATACAAGAAGTGCAAGATGGGGCCTCCCCGGTTGAGTGCTGGGCTGTGAAGCTGCCCGCAGTCTCTGCAGTGCCAGTTTGATCCCCGGCCGCCAGCGAGGGCCCCACATGGCGTGCAGACCTCTCCTGCTGCACCCGCTGCTCCCCTCAGCAGTATACTTCATCAGTCTGCCTGTTCTGCTCCCCACTCTGTCTCTGGTGAATTCTCTCACCCTCCCAAACTTCTGACTGTACCCAGCGCTTGTATAAATAAATAAATAAATCTTAAAAAAAAAAAAAAAAAAAAAAAAAGAAGTGCAAGCTGTTCAGCCCTCAAAAGTATAAGGATACACACATCTTTATACATTTATCCAAACCCAGAGGGTACAGCACTAATAGTGAGCCATAACTTAGGCTAAGGACTCTGGGTGATAATGATGGGTCAATATTCATCAGTTGTAATAAACCCCACTCTGGTGAAGGATATCGATAAAGGGGAGATCATGTATATGTGGGAACACAGTGTACATGAGATACTTTTGTACTTTCAATTTTGCTGTGAACATTAAACTGCTTTAAAAAAAAACGGGTGCTTTAAATAAATACTTTTAAAAGGTTCAACAACAAAAAATTTAAGCATGAGGACAGAAATCCTATATCCTAACAAGAGAACTGGGTCCTCCTTGGATTATTATTCAGCACATCCTAGCCAAGTAGGCTGAACTAAGACATTTTTCGGAGTTCAAAACACTGATATGATTTAATAGATCTGACAACAATTTTGATTCAGACCTGTTCTACGCAAGGTCAATGCTATAAACCATCAGATAAGATCCTATCTTCAGAAAGCTTAAAAATCAAATAGCTAAGATAATTGTGTATTGTTTAAGTTAAAGGTAGATGAACACGTGTGAAAAAAATTAAACTTAAAACCAAAATTCTTACTCCCAAGCAGTTAGCAAGGAGGAATTTGGGCTGAGAATGTTCCCCATATGAGAGGCACCAAATCTGCCCCTTTTCCTTAAGATGGCTAGCCAATTCCCATTCCTAAGGAGCTAACTTGCCTACACAGATCAATGTAGTACACGCCACAGAGTGCCACTCAGAAGGAAAGACCCAGAACACGAAAAATGAGTAACCATGGAAACTGAGAGGTGAGGTGATATTTATTTTGCTTTGCACTTTTCTGTATTTTCTGTGTGAGACACAAGAATGTATTAGTATGAAATTAGGGTAAAAAAATATAGCCATAAAGAAAGAAAGTACCATTCCAAGCCTCGGGGAGCATTTGGTTCCTTTCCAGAGCAATCTTCTGAGAACAGCTAATCTGAATGGCTTGAGACAAAGCCCGAGTCTCTCATCTATTACCTCCCACAAATTGGACAGATATGTGCTCTACAAGAGACCAACATGCTAAGGGACTGTGCTTCCATAGATGCAGATTCTGTCTACTGCTTCCATGCCTTCAACTTGTATTGCTTAATACAGAAAGAGGCGTTACCAGGAATACCAGCAGCTCCCTGAGCACCACTCTAAAAGTTTCCTTCTGGGTAGCCCAAAGATCCAGTGTCCTGACTAACCAGAAGCTACAATGTTAAATCAGTTGTTATTCCTTTCACCAGCTATGTGGGAGATTCATAATTTTCCTATGAAAAGGTTAGGAAAACCTTATATTTTTCTCAAAGGAGAATGTGCCCCAGGCCCAGCTCTAGGGAGTTGCCAGGTTGTTGGGCTGACCCAATGGGCACTAGAAAGGTATGCATTATCATTCCTGGGCATGCAGGGTTCCTGCCAACCTCAGATCTCAGAGAGATTGTTTGTTTTCTTCATCGTCCTAACATTTTTGGACCAAAATGACAGGGACAATCAAATTTGGGTTGGAAGGTTCATTAGTAAAATCAGTGGTAAGTCTGTTGCAAAATTCCATTCCTCTCTTCCCTAAGTGTCACTGAGAGCACAGTTAAGCAGTCCATTCTCTGAGAGTGAGGATGGTGGGAGTTAAAATATTATTCTACTAGGCACTTCTTTTTGAGATGAAAAAGTATGCCTTATTTCCTTCCTCTGTTTCACTGGTATTTAAAGCCAATTCTTAGCCTTACGAGACTTAAGACAAAGTCTCCCACATTAGTCCTGATGTCCACAGACTGCCACAGCCACTACTCAGTCCAATTGTTGGGCCTTTACAGCTACTCTTTTAAGATAAAAGGGAGACAACTGCCATGGTTGTGGCAGGAACTAAAAAGAAGGTTTAGCCTCCCAAGACTGATAAGAATTTAGCAAACATTGAGCAGACAATCTTGTAATGAGGATATAAATTAACAGGAATAATAAGGTCAGTCTATTAAAATCATTAGTTTCATTAAGAAAGTGCCAAAGCTGGGTGGCATTCACATTTACCTCCTTAGGAGCTCCCTTTCTAGAGCCTACCAGAGAGCCCAAAACATTATTTAGAGTTTTTATTTAAGATTTCTTCTCTACCTGATGTAAATCATTACTCTTAAGTCACTTTAAAGCAGAAAGTTTCACTTTATAGGTGAGTCACAGGTTTTGCAACTACTGGCCAAAAACTGTCACGTGGCAATAGAGCAGCAGGGCAAACATGATGGGATGAGAAGAGACTGTGACAACCTAAGGAAGGCGGGGGAAGCCCCAAGCAAATGGCCAAGGTGAGCAGCACACAGACACAGAGAATAAATTATGGGTTTTAATAAACATCACACCCTGCCTAACAATTGCTGTAGAATATACTCATTCCTGTTTAAAGACTCAATTTCTCCTTCATGCCAGACAAATGGTAACTCGTTAGAGCAATTTAAACAGATACCGATAAAGGAAGTTTTTGATTAAGGTCATGAATCTGAGCTGACAGTTAAGCAATGGTGTTTCAGGGAAAATAGCCTATTTAGGGAAGAATTAAACCTGGTAGAGGGGAAGGTGTTTTCAGTGTGGTACTGGGAAAGAGGTTGGCAACTTCCAAGCAGAACGCTGTGAGAGGGCAGGAGTCCATGCTGGGTGCAGAACGAAGGAGAAAAGGAAGTTTTCTTGGGGCCTACATCAGTTTCCCGGCTTAATGTGAAACTGCCAAAAAGAAAAAACGGCCTTCACTGCCTTTCCTAATAGTAAATTTCCAAGAGTTTATTTAGTTTTGAAAATGCAGTCAAACTCCTCTTAACATAGAAGAACTCATGATGCCATAGGGGCCATGACAACACCCTCTGTCTTCTTTACTCTAGTCAGGCTCTGACCTGGCAACGCAGCTGCCTCGTCAGTAATGTTAAATAAACTGGTTAAACTAAATCTATTAATGAGTCATCATATTGATCTAGCAGAGAAGCACAAACAAGACAGAAATAGTTAACTTTTTTGTTGTTTTTCTAATTGTACTCAATGAAAGTATTTTTCAATCATCTGTTCAAACAGTATATCCAGGTAGAAGTGGTTGGAGCAAAATGAAACACACCTGGTTTAATGCAGTGACTTAAACAGAAAAGCTACATACAGATCTCAGGAGATATGTGTTTTTCTGGTGAGACAGTAAATTACCAGGGCACACTGTTCATGGGACATTTAGGAGGGGCCAACACAGAATACAGATGGTATAAAAGTCAAATTAATGAAATGATCTTCCACAGACTGCAGAAAGGAAAAACAAAATGAAAATAGTAAAGCAGTTTAAGTTTCTGGAAAACTATCAAATCTCTTAAAGAATTAGAAAAGAACAACAACAACAAAAAAAAAAAAAACCACCAAAACCAGAAGAAAGGAAATAATACAAATACAAGCAGAAATAAAATTTAAAAAAAAAAAGGCAATCTAAGAGATCAATGAAATGTCTATCAATTCTGTTCACTAAATATTTACTTAGCAGGGGTGGGGGCAGGGTACAGGGAAAGGGGCACAGAGAACAATCTTATTGTTGAAGACATCAAATTCAAGTCCTCAGTTTTTCCAGCAATATGGAGCTGTCCTTTCCTAAAAAAAGCTGACCCTGGAAAATTTAGCGATTTTTTTTTTTTGCCTCTGCCTCCTGCCTCATTTTCTGCAAATGAAAAGGTCCAAATGGCCTCTTGCCAGATATACACAAGGTACTGGCCACCTCTAGATTTCCATTCTATACACACAACAGCAATAGTCAATTCTGACAGAGTCATAATGGTGCTACTTCCATAAAAGGTGAAAGCTATTTGGTACAACTGAAAGGAATCTGTGGACAGGGAAAGGAGATAATCTCAACTCAGTCACCTTTTTAAAAGCTTCAAATTTAAATCAGACTGGTTTCTTGAAAAATTCTTAACCATATACGCTTATCCTCCTATACCTGGGAGCTGTCCTCTCCTTACTTCAGAGTTATTACTTGAGAGCAAATGACCCCCAAGATGCTTAGCTGTCTAGACTTCTACCACCTGAGTATCATTTATTCCCCCCAGACATGCTTTCCTACTACCCCTTACAAGTTATCTCTCCCAAAACCCCTGTCCTACCCAAAGAAACTCTCTACCTCATCTCACCACTCAAATCCCAGGTGGAATGCAAAACTCCCTTTCTTCTATAATCCCTAGAACGAATGAACCTAATATGTTTATGTCTTCCTGCTTAGTAATCTCAAATGCATACAGCCTTCTCATCTACCCTGAAATACATCATGACAATTTTAAAGGCATGTATATTTCCACATACTGCCTGTATACTGGATTAAATAGTATTCCCCAAAGATCATGTCCACCCACTGCCTGTAATGTGACATTTGGAAACAGAGTTTTGCAGATGCAATCAAATTAAAATGAGGTCATACTAGATTACAGTGGGTCCTAATCCAGTGACTGACATCCTTATAAGAAGGAAGAAATCACAGAGACACACACACAGAAGGAAGACAGAGGCAGATACTGGAGTTACAATGCCACAAATCAAAGAATATCAAGGATTGCCAGCAATCACCAGAAGCTAGAAGAGGCAAGGATTCTTTCCAAGAGCCATAGAAGGGAGCATGGCCATGCTGAGACCTTGATTTCAGACTTCTAGCCTCCAGAATGGAGAAAGAATAAATTTCTGATGTTTCAGTTTATAGTAATTTGTTACAGCAGTCCTAAGAAACTAACACAACAAGTCAAGGTAAACTGCAAATGGAGTTACTTCTAACTGCTTGATATTTGTGGCAAGTCCTAGCTCCTAGACACTTTAGTTCCTAGACACTTTAGTTTCTCACAAAAAGCATCTGTGGAATGTCTATAACCCTAAAATGCAGGCAAAGTGCTTATTTCAACTAAATAAGTGAAATCCTCTGAGCTTAATGTGAACAGTGAACACAGGGAAGCTCCAATTCATTTGGGTGTTTCTGATCACAACTGCTGAGGGAACTGAGAAACAGAATGCTAAAACCTAAAGGGAATTAGGCCAGATCACTGCAGCAAAACGGATCATTAACAGCTATTAAGAGCACAGGGCACTCAGTGCTCACCACTAGATTCAACTGGTTTAAGATAGCAAAAGAGTGCCATCTACTGAAGGGCCAGTAGCAAACTAAGGCATTTCTGTAAAAACTCCAATGTTTTCATTTAAAACAAGTTTCCCAGTCCTACTGGAATGGCAGAAGAGAAGAGTCCACAGAAAACACTTCTCCTAGAATTTGCCTAATTATCCTCAAGGGGCAGGGGACTGTATTCTGCCCAATTCAGGCACCAGATTCAAAAAACCAGATGGCCAGTGACCTCAGGCCAAACTGGGCAAGCATACCTTTTGCTGCATGATTGACAGAGGTGGGAGGTTCATCATCAGACGTAGAACTGAGGTTCAGGCCAAGCTCTGCAACCCTTTTCTTCTGTTTCTTGATGGGGGCAGTACACTCTGGATCGTTTCTCCTCTTCATTGTTACTGCAACCAAAAACCCAGACAGTCAGCTGCCCTTCTCAGAATCGGAATCAGAGCAGGGATTCCAAAGTGTAAACCTTCAATGGAATGGGATTTGGCAACTCAGAACAGCTTCCAGTGCCAGCATTTGAATGACCTCTTGCTCAGAAAGGATGCTGGCCAAGCTCTGGTTTTCAATAATAACTGCTAGCTTTACTGGAAAATATGGTGCTCACAACTGCCATGCTCACAATGGCCTTTGGGTCATCAGTGTCAGGTACCAAAAAGTCATGGCTAAACGCCACAAGCCACAGGGGTAAAGGCTGTGGGTACTTGTTATTCTATACTTTCAATACAACACTGGTCATTTGTGACAAACATGGACACTGGAAATTAATTAAGAAACTGAATGAATATCAACCAATATTTCCAAGATGAAGAGACTATCCCAAAGCAATTGTTCCATCACCATTACTTTTGTTACCAGGATGAAGAGGCTATATAATATAAATCAAATTATGGTTTTTGGTTTACTTCAGGGTGCTTGAAAACATGAAAGACTTGGGCAAGTTTTTTAGCAGAAAAGAATGGAAACAGTGGTTGACTGGTTTCTTTAACCAAAGGGTGAGAGAGTTAGTGGGATCAAAGGTGGCCCTATCATGGGATGCAGGAACAAAAACACTTGATTTTAAGAACAGAAACCCATCTCCACAAAAAATAGAGGAAACAGGCAGGGACCATGTCTCCATCATCCATGCCCATGGGTAGGCTCATGAGAGTTAAGAAGGAGAAAAAATAAGTGAGATGGAATGAAGTGATTATAAGACCTTGAAGTCTTAAGGACAGGCCAAGTTAAAGAGTAAGCAAGAAAAGTAGTGAATACAGGGCCTCCCTGGTGGCGCAAGAGGTTAAGACGCAATCTATGAAGCTATCCACAGCCACTGCAGCACAAGTTCGATCCCCAGCCAAGGAGATACCCACATGGCGCAGCAGACCTCTCCTGACTCGCCCGCTGTACCCCTCAGCAATGTTTTCAGTCAATCTGCCTGTTCTGTTCCCCACTCTGTCTCTGGTGAATCCTCTCACCCCCCACAACTCTGGCCTGTGCCCCAGTCCTTGTATGCATAAATAAATAAATCTTTAAAAAAAAAAAAAGCAGTGAATACAGTGTAGTTTATACACAACTGACTGGCTGTCAGAGGACTCAGAAAAGAGAACCAAACACTAGACCAAACAGGTGGGCCACCTGCTGGGCTCTGACCTTTGGGAAAGGGGAGGTGCAGGGGCTCAGGACAGGCTTACGCTATGGGTCACTGCAGCCACAGTCAAGAGAACAATGAAATTCAGAGGTACCACTGATCCCCTCAATCTCACAAAACCCTGAATCACACATTTCACTTCTCTCCAGCTCAAGGATGAGCCAGTCAACCCATCTCATCCTTTCTAAGGCTGCAGCCTCTTGGGGTTAGGCACAGGCAGGAGCTATCTTGGTTAAGTAGGAACAACAAGAGATACAGAATAGAAACCAAGACCAGGCTAAGCCACATGTCACTTTAAACCAGTCTTATATCTCCCCACGTCCTCCCCACTCTGATTCTTAGAGACTTTGGAAGAGAATGGAAGCTCATTGCAGACTAGTTTGGGGTGGCTGCAAGAAAAGGAGAGGAAGTAGTTGTCTGAAAGGCAGGAGACGCTGATACTCCTCCCCAAATCTTATTACCTTAGATGTGGGTCTTCCAAATTATCTAATCCAACCCTCTCCTTTTTCACTGGAGGGGAAAAAAAGGGCCAAGATATGCAGGCCACACAGTTAAGCAGTGCCCAGCTCAAGTGACCCTCGGAGCCCAGCTGAATCTGCTCTCACAGGGAACTTCTAAGTGGAAGGCAGAATGCCTGGCTCTACTTGCTACTTCCTCACGGAAGGGGTTCAAATCCCTTCTCCAGTCTTCTTTTCCTGAGCCTCGGTTTCGCACTGCCACCCCTAGTCACAGAGGGAAGAGATGAGCTCCCATCTCCTAGGGCCAGTCTCCCCATTTGAAGACAACGTGAGGGTGCGAGTGTGTGCGCAGAGACGTTTGTCAGCCGCAGCTCGGGCTCCGAGGAGCTGGAGGAGTTGAAGGAGCCCGGGGAGGAGGGGGAGGGTAAGGCAGGAAAGAGCGAAGGGGCGAGGAGGCGGCGAGGGTCACGACCGCGGGTAGGGAGCCGAGTAGCGGCGGAGGGAAGGATGCTGAGCCCGCTCTCCCGCCCGCTCAGTCCCCCGGGGCCGCGCGTCGGCACTCACGCTAAGGGGAGGGCGAGCTGCCAGGGAGCGCAGAGGGGGGTTCAGGCCGCCGCTGCCGCCGCCGCCACCGGGCCTGACCCTACCACTGCCAGAGCCGCCGCCTCCTCCCTCAGTTTCGTTTCCCCACAGGCCAGCCCAAGTCCGCCGGCCGCGCTGTCGCGCTCGGGTCCAGCCCTGCGGGCCGCGCGGCTTGATGACGTCACGGGCAGCCCGCTCCCTCCACCCCGCCCGGGTCCTGGCCCCGGGGAAGACCGCTTGGTTGCGGCCCGCCCCGCCCCCTTCACCCCGGCGGGCCTGACGCCTGCGCGCAAGCGCCTCCTGGCAAAGGAGGCGAAAGCAAAAGTAACCCAAGTATCTTCTCCCACGGCTCTGGGTGCCCAGGGGGAACACAAAAATTTAGAGAGTTAGGTGCCATCATATCACCTCATAGCCCTTAATCTCATCGTTTTGCCGAGCCTCGGTTTCTTCATTTTACAGACTAAGAACAAGGTTAGAGAGGTAGACGGTAAACTGAGGGCAGAAACCCAGATCCAGCATATGTCAGTAGTACATACTCAATAGGTGTTGGATGAAGCTTGGGAGGAAAGAAGCCATGTCGCCTATAACATTTTGTAATAGTGATGAGAAAATATATTATTGAGCAAATGAATATAATAAAGTTCCCAGCAGAACTTCCAACCCAGGAGCAATGAACATGCCAGTGCAGGCATAATCAACAAGTTTGCTTACTTACAGCTCCTTCCCTTTCAAGATTCATGGCCAGGCCCTCAGCACTCTTATATACAATGTCGGGCAGCTGGACAAGCTGGTCTCTCTCTCTCTGCAAGGCCATCCCTGAATGCCTGCATCTTTCCCCCGTACCTTGCCCCCTTGTCTGGGGACTTTGCCACAAATGGTTGTGCCTGCTGAAAAACGATGTTATCAATGTAACAAATATGGACACAGATGTGTATAAAAGGAACCCTTGGTTTTTAAACAGGTGCTCAGACTTAACGGGATTACCCAGGTCTGGGACCTCATGCCTGAGTAATAAAGCTTCTCCTGACCTCACAATTCCTAAAGTACCGGTTGTTATTCCTCTACCAGGTAAAAGGCTAGAATTTATTTCTACAACAACAGGCACACAGATGGCTTCCACCCCAAACTACTCTTCCAATTTTCACTTTTGGCCGATATGTCCAAGAGTTGAACATCCTCATTCAGTCACCTCACACCCCTAAATTCAAAGTTGACCTTATCTTCTCACATAAACCTGCTCTTTTTCCAGTGGATGGCACCACCAATCAATTAGAAATCTGAAGAGGCTCTCTCTCCCTCATTCCCCGGAGCCTCTAATATACACTTAATTGAGTCTACCTCCTAATTTTCTCTCATTCTCCTCCATCCCATTTCCACTACCCACGCACGCACTCTCTCTACAAGGATTTGTCCAGTAATTTCCAAATCATTGCATCTGTCCACAGTTGTCATCATTTTGATGCATTCGCCACAAAACCAAATTGCTTTAAAAAAAAAAAAACTTAGATCTGATCATGTTACAACCCATCAGTGATTAAAATCCATCAATGACTTCCTACTTCTCTGAGGATGAAGCTAATGTCCTTTAAATGGCTAAAAGCCTCTCCAATCTGACCCCTTCTGCTGTGGTGCCCTTACCCCTTCCTATTCAGGTTTTCTCTCCATTCCTGAAATAAGCCATGTCTCTTAGGGGTTCGTCCCTCTGCTTACGTCCCTTTTCTCCCCCTCTTTGCTTGGCTAATGTCCACTTATTACTGAGCTTCAATTTAGTGGCCTAACCTCTGGAAATCTATCCTGTTTTGTATGTGTTGCTCTTCAGGTTGCTCCATAGCTTTCTCTCCTTCCCTTAAGCACTATGTCCTTCCCTGCAACAGTGTTGTGAAATTGACCTGTTGCTGACTCATCTGCCTCTCCCACTTAGTTGTAAACTGTGAGCAGCAAAGGTTGTATCTGTCTTTCTGTATTAAATCTTTAATTTAAATGGCTGGGTAGTAGGTGCTCAATAAACATTTATTGAATCTGTGGAAATATGGAAGATGAATAAAAGTTAAGCAGGGTGCCAAAGGTCACACAGCCAGGAAACAGCAAATGAGCATTTAAACCCAAGTCTCTTTGGTTCTAAAGTTGAGTGTCTTTCCACTTCACCAGGGGTTCTTAATATGTGCTGTGCTTTGGACACCTTTGATAATCTTGTAAAGATTGTGGATCCACTCTCAAAGTAATAATTTAAAGGGCATATTACTTATATATATCTATAAATAACCTATAAAAAAAGAAAAACAGAAGGTTTCAATTCTTGTCAAAGTAGAAAAAACACACTCCACTCCGTTTCTCCTGCTGAGTGCAATTTAACTCCTGGGTAGAATCCATGAAACACCTGAGTATTCTGAAAACTGAATGGTAGCAAGTTCATTGGGGAAGGAAACCAGAAGTAAAAGGACCACCAAATCAGGGGTGAGTTTCCCAATTTCCCCCCTCTAGTAGCTGCTGACCAGCACCAAAAGGCAACCTGAGATCTAGAACTTAAAATATTAAAATAACTCCAAGAAAAGTCGTCCATTTCTCTTTTTAAGCAAAAAAAGAGGTCTGTAGGGATTAGAGAGAGTGGAGGAAATCCAAAGCATTTTGCTTTGTTTTGTTTCTTTGATTCACTTTCACCCAGTCTTCTGTCAACCCAAGGTGACAGAGACAGCAAAGCCCACAGCCCATTAGAACCACAGAGCACAGAATGTAGGTAGGAAATTGTGGCTTAGATCTAACCAGGTCAGTTGCCTATTAAAACAAACCAAAAAATGCAAAACAATGTAAAATAAATCTTTTAAACCTTTTCCATAGTATTTAAATACAATCCAGGGCCTCCCTGGTGGCATAGGAGGTTAAGACAGCACTATGAAGCTATCTGCATCCACTGCAGCATGAATTTAGAGTTCGATCCCCAGCCAGGGAGCTAATCCACATGGTGCAGCAGACCTCTCCTGTCTCCCCCGCTGCTCCCCTCAGCAGTGTATTTCAGTCAGTCTGCCTGTTCTGTTCCCCATTCTGTCTCTGGTGAATCCTCTCACCCCCCACACCTCTGGCCTGTACCCTAGTTCTTGTATGCATAAATAAATAAATTTTTAAAATAAATAAATACGACTCAAAGTCACAATATGTAATCTTCAAAATGTCCGAGATAAGGAGTCTAGCAAGATGGCAGAGGAATGAAGATAAATGGCTCACCTCCTCCACATATTTATAGCCAAATTCTATGGGTTCCAGGAGGACAACCAGATTACCATTGTACACATAAAGAGGGATGGCATGGCAAAGAAGGAAGAAAAAAACCTAAAATTTAATTGTGTTTAAAATGTTACCGTGGCTGCATAACCCAAGAAAAAGGTCAGCTCCAACACTGAGCCTCACTGTTGTTTATAGAAGGATTTATGCAGACTTTGGGGCCTTTAAAACCCAGGAACTGCACTGGAGAGGGGGCATAACTAATCAGTATGCAAGAACCCCGGACATGTTGCCTGCCATCATGCTGCAGCACAGAATCCACGGGAGACAGATATTCAAAGATCTTATCAGTAAATGTGAAGCCATGCATCTGACAAAGGCATTGAATGAAAGGGGTGGAATACTACAAAAATAAAAAATGGATGGAGGGTTCTACCTCCAGAGAACTATAGTGGTAGGAAAGTAGAGACCCATGATAGAATGATGGACTAGTAGATCTCTGCTTGCAAATGGAGCTACTACCCTGCTGCCACCCAGAGCGAGACTGAAATATCTACATCTCAATATAGGAGAGCTTGAGGACAGGGGAGAGTCTTGGTGACTGTCAGTATAAGACCTGTGTAAAGGTAGTGCTTGTTAGCTCGTATTTCTGGCTTCCAGACATGACTCACTAGAGCCTGACCTGGTAGGGAAGGCTAGATTAGCTTCATCTGTGCCTTCATACAGAAGAGGTTCTTCTTTACAGCTGGCAGTGGTATTATGCAAAACACATGCCTCATAAGAGATTACTATGAACAATACTCCAATAAATTGGATAATCTTGGAGAAATGGCCAAAGTTCTAGATCAATATAGTGTACTAAAGCTAAACAGGAAGAAACAGAATAAACTGATCACAAGCATGGAATTAAAACAGCAATTAAAGGGGGCCTCCCCGGTGGCGCAGCGGTTGAGCGCTGGGTTGCGAATCTGCCCGCAGCCTCTGCAGCGCTGGTTTGATCCCCGGCTGCTCCCCGGCCACCAGAGGAGGGTCCCACATGGCGCGACAGATCTCTCCTGCCGCCCGCTGCTCCCCTCAGCAGTGTACCTCGGTCCCTCTGCCTGCTTTGCTCCCTGCTCTGGCTCTGGTGAATTCTCTCACCCTCCCGCGCTTCTGACTGTACCCAGTGCTTGTATAAATAAATAAATTAATTAAAAAAAACCCAGCAATTAAAAAATCTTCCACCAAACAAAAGCCCAGGGCCAAACAGCCATATAAATGAATTTTATTGAACCTTCAAAGAAATACTAATGCCCATCTTGCTCAAATTATTTTTAAAAATACAAGAAGAGGGAACTCTCCCCAATATATTTTGTGATGCCAATATTACCTCAATACCGAAAACAGATAAAGATGGCGCAAGAAACTTATAGACCAATATCTCTCAAGAAGATTGATGTAAAAATCTTCAACAAAACACAAGCAAATCAAATTCTATAATATATCACAAGGATTATATATCATAATCAAGTGGTATTTATCCCAGGGATGTAAGAATGATTCAATATGTGAAAATCAATCAATGTAGTATATCATATCAACAAAAAATAAATATCATACGATTACATCAATAGATGCAGAGAAATCATATGATAAGATCCAGCACCAAATTATGATTAAGACTCTAAACAAGATGGGAATAGAAGAAACCTTCCTCAATATTATAATAAAAGTCTTATATTATAAACCAACAGCAAATATAATTCTTAGTGGTGAAAAAACTGAAAGCTTTTCCCTTAAGAGCAGGAATAAGACAAGGATGCCCACTGTCACCACTTCTGTTTAACTTAGTATTAGAGGTTTGGGCCAGAGTTAACAGACAAAAACAGAAAACAAAGAGAAAGCAAGTCAGAAAAGAAATGAAACTAT